GTATTGTAGGATTATGAAATTACGAAGTGAATTTTTATTCCCTGAAATCAGGGTATAATGGATTTGTTAAAAGTAGGTAACAGGCAGAAGGAGGCGTGGCAGACCCCATAAAGTATATATATTTTCGATCAGGGCGACGGGCTGAGTCGATTTAGCCCTGCCCGTCTGTCTGTCCATCCGCTCGTCCGGCCGCATGTATGAACGCGTCGATCCCAGAAGATATAAGGGCTAGAGACTTGCAATGTTTTCCTAGGTCCGTGTTTATCACGCGCATATTGAGTTTCTCTCAAAAAGCCGATAACTACTCCCGATATTTTGTTATCGATCGAAACCTTATCGAAAACTAGTTCGCGTATACCTTTAGAGGTAGAGTCCGCAAATTTTAAATATAGACTCATATGTATTTTATAGAATTTCGATTTTTGTTGTAAATTGTAAATTTAATGTCAATATCTAAAATATGTAAAAAACAAGTAAGAACGTTGCAGTCGGGCGTTACCGACTGCGGAATACTCATTCACATCCCAATCAACAATTTAGTAGATAAGTTTCGCTCTAATACTGTAGAATATACAGGTTTTTCCGATTTGCCACACCCCTACTGGGCGTAGGCTCCTCATTTTTGACCAGTTCTTAGAACCAAAAACCGGTAACCTAAATGCAAATTTTGAATTCTTACGCTCAAAAAATGTGAAAATTACAGGGTATTTTTCGATATGCCACGCCCCTAAAGAGGCGTAAAAATTATTTTTTGGGGCATCGATAGAGGAGGCTACCAGTAACTCAACTATCCAAATTTAAAGCTAGTAGCTATTATACTTTAGGAGATATAAACTTTTGCGGTTTGCCACGCCCCCTGTGGGCGGAAATATATCCGACAAAACTTTTTGGTCTTGGGTGATTAGCCCGAGTATATATACAAAATTTGAGGTCTCTGGCATCAATAGTGTCCAAAATATAGCAGAATATAAAAAATCACTATATCTTCAGGTCTGATTTGCCACGCCCCTAATGGGCGTAGGCTTATAATTTTGTCTTCAGACTTTATAGAATCATAGCATTAGCTGACGTGCAAAATTTCAGCATCCTAGGTTTACAACTTTAGGAGATACAGTTTTATCCGGTTTGCCACGCCCCCAATAGGCGGAGATATATCCGCCATAGCTCGTGATCGTGGGTGGTCGATGCGGATCTATATTCCAAATTTCAGCCTTCTAGCTCTTTAACTAACATGATTTCTGGTATATCGGAAAATGCATTTTCCGATTTGCCACGCCCCTAGTAGGCGGATCGGGAAAATTTTAACACTTTATAAATCGGAGATATACACGAGTATGTGTTCCAAATTTCAAGTCTCTAGCTTCAATAGCGCCGAAATAGATTGCGTTCATAGATTGCGTTCATACGGACAGACGGACGGACGGACAGACGGACGGACAGCAAGGCGGACATTGCACAAAACCAATATACTGATTCACTTTCGTGAATGAGTATAAAAAATACAGTAAGTAAGAAATCTCTAGATATCATATTATTCAAAATACGTTTAAAATCAAATACAATTATTAAATATTAGTGATAATAAGTAAATCAGATGAGTTTTCGACAAAATATATAATAAATCAGACTGCGTATGACTTAGAGGAGTATACAGGGAAAATTTCAAATCTCTTGCTATTCTGGTGTTCATGCACATGCATGAACATAGAAATATGACAAATATGAGAACATACCCTCTACGCATTTAACGGCTAGCATACATAAAATAGATAACATGTGCGACATGTATGGACTCTCACGATAGACAGATGAACTGTGACCCTGGCAATCGTAGCAACAAGAATATGTAAGCGACGAGCGCTGAGCCCTACCAACTCAGCGATAAGATAAGAATAACTAATAGATCCACGCTGAGCCTTATAAGCTCAGCGATAAGATAAGAATATGTAATAGACCAACCAACCTTACACACTCAGCAATAGACGCACTAGATTTAAGGGTTGAAAATATGCATGAGTCTCGGTACATAAACCCAGACTCAGAAGAATAAAGATCAATTTAAAACAAGTAAGAAGACTCTAGTCGAGACTGCTCGACTAGGAGATACCCTGAACCCTCTAATCTGATATTCTAATCAGTCTGCACTTCTTTTCGACACACATACATACACACACACGTATTAGAATGCGCTCTGCTAACTGCGCTTGGGCTGCGCTGTAGTGTAGTAACATTATAAGAATTTATTTGTTGAATAATTTAATTTCTAGATGTACAATCTTAATGAAAGTTTCAGGGCGTAATTGTATGGTAAATGTATATACATTCCAAAGCACATGTCTCTAGTACTTGAAATACGCCTTTTACAAAGGTGAGGGTGAGGGGGTGGATATAGGGGTGGGGGGAAAATTACAACAAAAACCGAAATTATATAATATATATATAAGTCTACATTTAAAATTTGCAAGCTCTAGCTCTAAAGGTGTAGGAGATATAATTAAATAACTAGCTTTCGATAAGGTTTTTTATCGATAATAAAATATCGGGAGTAGTTATCGATATATAAAGAAAAACTTGATATGCGCGTGATATACACGGACCTAGGAAAAAAAATTTCAAGTCTCTAGCTCTTATATCTTCTGAAATCGACGCGTTCATACATACGGACGGACGGACGGACGGACGGACGGACGGACAGACAGACGGACAGGGCCAAATCGACTTAGCTCGTCGCCCTGATCAAGAATATATATACTTTGTGGGGTCTGCCACGCCTCCTTCTGCCTGTTACATACTTTTAACAAAACCATTATACCCTGATTTCCCATTTTCAATGGGTTCAGGGTATAAAAAACTAAACACCATCATAGTCAAGTGTATTCGTTCATCTGGTTTAAGATGTAGCTGCGTTCGTACGGGACTGGCGGACTTATGGCCATAAACATATACACGCTCATCAACATGGTTAAGAACATATGTTCTTTATATACATGTACAAGTATATACATACATTTACACAAAAATATTTTATCCAAACTATATTTATAGGCATACAATCGTCTTTTTATGTGTTACTATATGCATCGTAGAATACTGCCCGACTGTCTGGTTTCATGTTTACAAATTCAATATTTGTTCACCTACTCTTGTTCGAAAAGTAAGCAACTGGGTACAACATTAAATTTCGTAGAATAGAATTTCATGCACACTTCTATTTTTTGAATAGATTATATAGGACACGTATTTATTTTAGAAATATATTGTTTGAAACCGACATAAATAAAATACATTAAAAGTAATCACCAGCTACCGCATACGTCCTGGGACAGTACTTTTCCGCATACTTTACATAGGCAATATTGGAGGCAACTTTGATGCGCTCTCTCCTGGACGCAATGTTCCATATGTGTATCATTAATGAATCCTTAGTTCTTGCCATAGTTTCCTCCAGGTACCTGGGCTCAGTGAAATGCTTCCACTCTTGCCAAGGAATTGAATAGAATGCAGTCGTATTAAATAGTCGAAATCCCTTGCAACTCTTACGACCGCCTTCTATGGCTTTCATGAGGCTGGTGCCACAAAATTTCAACAGAACGGCTGTCACAAGAGCTGGTCCATTTTGTGCATAGTCTTTCCCATTGAAATATTTTACATATCGCTCTAAAAATAGTTCAGCAACTTCATGACCTATTCCATCGGCTGCTAAACCGATGACAGCATTGCAGAGGGAATAGTTAGATTCAGCTCCCACATAGTTCAGGGGTAATTTCTCTAAGCTCTTCAGGACAATAATATCCATGTCTAAATAGATGCCTCCAAACCGATAGAGACTTATAAGGCGGAGGAGGTCAGATGTGTGCTCCATCGGAAAGCTGTGTATTATACCAGGAGAATTACGCTACATTCTAAAAGGAAATCAACAAGAATTTAAAAATTACCTAGAGTTAAGCAATTCGCCCCTTTTTACCCAATCTTCAATAGGAGTGTTCATAGCATAGTCCCTTAAATTTAGGTGACGAAAGTTCACGTTCTCATAGCTTTCGATGGCATCGACGAGAAGTTTTTGACGACCGACGAGCGGGCGATAGGTGGGACAGGAAAACACAGTGAAGATTTGGAAGTTGGGATTATTCAGAGCAGCCGATTCTATTGAACAGGCTTGTCGAGCCGTCAGATTCATAATGTTGGATGCCGTATCTGGAGAAGTGCAGCTGGTCTCATGAAAGAAAATACTACGTCCTGGCGGAGGCTGCGAGCTCGAACATAGTATGTCCTCAATAACATACTCAATTGAAACAGATTTAGCTTTTAATGTATTGGGTAGGTCCTTGATAGTGGATAGTACGACTAGGAATATTAGAGTAACAGCCAGAACTGGTGTTACGAGACGTCGTCCCATCATGTAAACATACTTAGACTCTTTTCTTAAACATGATGAACCGATGCTGCTGGGGCTTAACCACACACTAACCAATAACCCCAATAATAAGGTTTATACATCTTGAATTTTCCTAAATTTCGATTGCCGCCATTCAGTGTAGTCAGGTGTTTAATGTTTTTTGTTTGCTTAACACATTCTGGTTTGAAAACTAGAAGAACAAAACACTCCCAAAATGCTTGAAATACATTTTAAGTTCAGTGGGTGTAGCTAGTTAGCTATGAAGATTCAGATAGGTTGATATATAATGTTAATAATTTATCATATTGTTGTTTTTAAAATGTCTTTAAATAGGGATTTCTTATCGCCAAAATACAATTATAAGGAGAAATGCTCAGCTATCGTCATTAATTGCGGAAGATGAACAATATTTATAAACATACAATCGTCACTCTATCTGTTACTCTATGTGCATAGTAGAATATTGCCTGACTGCCTGGGCTTCGTGTTTACAAATTCAATATTTGTTCACCTACTCTTGTTCGAAAAGTAAGCAACTGGGTTCAACATTAAATTTCGTAGAATAGAAATAAAATGCACGCTTCTATTGTTTGAATAGCTTACATATATAGGAAACGTATTTACTTTATTCTAGCAATAAATTATTTGAAACACACTTAAATAAAACACATTAAAAGTAATCACCAGCTGCCGCATACGTCCTGGGACACTTCTTTTCCGCATACTTTACATATGCAGCGTTGGATCCGACTTTGATACGCTCTCCCCTAGAGACCTTGTTCCACATGTGTATCATAAGTGAATCCTTAGTTCTTGCCATAGTTTCCTCCAGGTACCTGGGCTCAGTAAAATGCCTCCACTCTGGCCAAGGAATTGAATAGAATGCAGTCGTATTAAATAGTCGAAATCCCTTGCAACTCTTACGACCGCCTTCTATGGCTTTCATGAGGCTGGTGCCACAATATTTCAACAGAACGGCTGTCACAAGAGTTGGTCCATTTTGTACATAATTTTTTCCATTAAAATATTTTTGATACTGCTGTAAAAATAATTCAGCAACTTCATGACCTATTCCATCGGCTGTCAAACCAATGACACCATTGGCCAAGGTATAATTAGATTGAGCTCCCACATAGTTCAGAGGCAATTTCTCTAATCTCTTCAGGACAATAATATCCATGTCTAAATAGATGCCTCCAAACCGATAGAGACTTATAAGGCGGAGGAGGTCAGATGTGTGCTCCATCGGAAAGCTGTGTATTATACCAGGAGAATTACGCTACATTCTAAAAGGAAATCAACAAGAATTTAAAAATTACCTAGAGTTAAGCAATTCGCCCCTTTTTACCCAATCTTCAATAGGAGTGTTCATAGCATAGTCCCTTAAATTTAGGTGACGAAAGTTCACGTTCTCATAGCTTTCGATGGCATCGACGAGAAGTTTTTGACGACCGACGAGCGGGCGATAGGTGGGACAGGAAAACACAGTGAAGATTTGGAAGTTGGGATTATTCAGAGCAGCCGATTCTATTGAACAGGCTTGTCGAGCCGTCAGATTCATAATGTTGGATGCCGTATCTGGAGAAGTGCAGCTGGTCTCATGAAAGAAAATACTACGTCCTGGCGGAGGCTGCGAGCTCGAACATAGTATGTCCTCAATAACATACTCAATTGAAACAGATTTAGCTTTTAATGTATTGGGTAGGTCCTTGATAGTGGATAGTACGACTAGGAATATTAGAGTAACAGCCAGAACTGGTGTTACGAGACGTCGTCCCATCATGTAAACATACTTAGACTCTTTCTTAAACATGATGAACCGATGCTGCTGGGGCTTAACCACACACTAACCAATAACCCCAATAATAAGGTTTATACATCTTGAATTTTCCTAAATTTCGATTGCCGCCATTCAGTGTAGTCAGGTGTTTAATGTTTTTGTTTGCTTAACACATTCTGGTTTGAAAACTAGAAGAACAAAACACTCCCAAAATGCTTGAAATACATTTTAAGTTCAGTGGGTGTAGCTAGTTAGCTATGAAGATTCAGATAGGTTGATATATAATGTTAATAATTTATCATATTGTTGTTTTTAAAATGTCTTTAAATAGGGATTTCTTATCGCCAAAATACAATTATAAGGAGAAATGCTCAGCTATCGTCATTAATTGCGGAAGATGAACAATATTTATAAACATACAATCGTCACTCTATCTGTTACTCTATGTGCATAGTAGAATATTGCCTGACTGCCTGGGCTTCGTGTTTACAAATTCAATATTTGTTCACCTACTCTTGTTCGAAAAGTAAGCAACTGGGTTCAACATTAAATTTCGTAGAATAGAAATAAAATGCACGCTTCTATTGTTTGAATAGCTTACATATATAGGAAACGTATTTACTTTATTCTAGCAATAAATTATTTGAAACACACTTAAATAAAACACATTAAAAGTAATCACCAGCTGCCGCATACGTCCTGGGACACTTCTTTTCCGCATACTTTACATATGCAGCGTTGGATCCGACTTTGATACGCTCTCCCCTAGAGACCTTGTTCCACATGTGTATCATAAGTGAATCCTTAGTTCTTGCCATAGTTTCCTCCAGGTACCTGGGCTCAGTAAAATGCCTCCACTCTGGCCAAGGAATTGAATAGAATGCAGTCGTATTAAATAGTCGAAATCCCTTGCAACTCTTACGACCGCCTTCTATGGCTTTCATGAGGCTGGTGCCACAATATTTCAACAGAACGGCTGTCACAAGAGTTGGTCCATTTTGTACATAATTTTTTCCATTAAAATATTTTTGATACTGCTGTAAAAATAATTCAGCAACTTCATGACCTATTCCATCGGCTGTCAAACCAATGACACCATTGGCCAAGGTATAATTAGATTGAGCTCCCACATAGTTCAGAGGCAATTTCTCTAATCTCTTCAGGACAATAATATCCATGTCTAAATAGATGCCTCCAAACCGATAGAGACTTATAAGGCGGAGAAGGTCAGATGTGTGCTCCATCGGATAGCTGTGTATTATACCAGGAGAATTACGCTACATTCTAAAAGGAAATCAACAAGAATTTAAAACTTACCTAGAGTTAAGCAATTCGCCCCTTTTTACCCAATCTTCAATAGGAGTGCTCATAGCATAGTCCCTTAGATTTAGGTGACGAAAGTTCACGTTCTCATAGCTTTCGATGGCATCGACGAGAAGTTTTTGACGACCGACGAGCGGGCGATAGGTGGGACAGGAAAACACAGTGAAGATTTGGAAGTTGGGATTATTCAGAGCAGCCGATTCTATTGAACAGGCTTGTCGAGCCGTCAGATTCATAATGTTGGATGCCGAATCTGGAGAAGTGCAGCTGGTCTCATGAAAGAAAATGCTGCGTCCTGGCGGAGGCTGTGCGGTCGAATACAGTATGTCCTCAATAACATTCTCAGTTGAAACCAATTTCGCTTTTAATTCACGTAAGCCGTAAGTTTCATTCCAAGCATTGGATAGGTCCTTGATAGTGGATAGTACGACTAGGAATATTAGAGTAACAACTAGAACTGGTATTACGAAACGTCGTCCCATGATGTAAACGCACTTCGACTTATACCCCAACATGATAAACCAATGCTGCTGGGGCAGAACAACTAACTTTAACCACTAACTGTACAACACAAAAGTCGACCATCCCAATCGAGCGATTACGAAGGTGTCAGGGATTCCAATGCTTCGATCATTCTGCGATGAGTCCAATATCAGCTAGTTTTAATTGTTTAATAATGTTCCATTGCTATTGCTATTGAACTAAGAAAACAAGTAAGAAGGCTCCAGTCGAGAGTGCTCGACTAGGAGATACCCTGAACCCTCTAGGCTGATATTCTACTCATTTTAAACTTCTTTTATGCACACATGCATACACACGCACGAATAATCACGCACTGCGGTGAAGCCCTCACCGTGAGGGTAATAGCATGAGCATTTATTTGCTGAATAATTTCTCTTGTAGTAAGACAATCTTTATGAAACTTTCAGAATGTGATCATATGGTTAGAATGTCTGTACGTTCCAAATCACAAGTCTTTAGTACTTGAAATGCGTTTCATACAAATTGGTGGCTAAAGGAGCGTGGTATCCAAAATCTATAAAAGACAAAATCCTTGTATCCATCAACTGTAATACACAGTAAATCTGAAGTCTCCAGGTCTACAAGTGTTCAAATTAGGCTAAAAAAAAAAAAACAGAAACAAAAGTGGTATACGAGTCTACATGCAAAATTTCAGCTCTCTAGCTCTCGGACGGACAGGGCTATATCGACTCAGCTTGTTGCCCTGATCAAGAATATTTATACTTTATGGGATCTGCGATGATTCCTTCTGCCTGTTACATACTTTTCACAAAACTATTATACCCTGATTTCCCATTTTCAATGGGTTCAGGGTATAACAAAATGAAAGTCAAGATTGTGACTCATTGAATTGAGCAATTTTAAGAACAAGTTAGCCAATTAATTTATTTTCAATTCTTCTTGACGATAAAGTCGTGTAATCACGGTCGAATTTATTACACAGACATGTTCACCAAACACAAAGCAGTTTGAACAATCAAGCGGAACACAAAAAAATCGTGTCGCGATTACAGCTAGAATAAACATGTGACTATATGCGTGTGGGAATAAGTGAAATTCAAGGTGATCTGATCTGATTTGAGCAATGTTATTAATTAATATATATAGTAATATATCCACCAACAATATACACATCAGCACTTGAGGAAATCATAAAAATCACGCTCGCCCCCCATCATCTATAAACAAATCAATGGCTCCCACACGGAGCGACACAACAGATCACATTACACCCTTTTTGTGTACCCACAACCCCGCGGTAAGCATAATCCAAAGAAACCAATCAGGAGCGATTAGTGTTAACATAAACTGATCAAACCAAATACGATAAACCCTCTTAAAACTAAATCTCTTCAAGAATGAGATCCATTTTATTTGCATAAGAGCATAAAAGCTCAACAAGTCCAAAGTCCAATCAACAAAAGCGAAGACAGGCCAATAAAACATCCTCAGTTCAGTCTAGCATCGTAATTGTTCTAAGCGATTTGTATTTCCATAAAAATACATGTTTTTTTTTTAAACAATAGCGTAAAACCTATTATTTTATGTATGTATGTATATGTATGTGTCTATATTGTATGGCATGCCAGCGTAGCACCTCATCTGGTTGTGTACATTGTATGTGTTTATTTTTGATCCATATTGATTGAAGTAATACAAAGTAGTATGTAGCGCCGAATGTGCGGCTAGAGGCTCGTGTTTATATATTTTTATTGGTATTTAATATAATATAATACATATTTTAAATAAATTTATTTTATTTTTATTTATATTGGTAAAGAAAATTGGCATTTTATATATTTATGCATTAATATATATTTTTATTGTTATTTAATATACTCCACTAAAAATGTTTTTGATTGTGAAGGGGATATTAAAATACAATGTCAATGAGAAGCGTCATGTCCGCTTGTTCAGCTGAATTTGCTTAAACATATATCGACTTTTTCTCTGTTCTATTTCTAGACAATAAAAATGTGACGGCAAACAAGTAATAAAGCTCTAGTCGAGACTGCTCGGCTACGAGATCCTCTGAACCCTTCGAGCAACTGATATTTCAATAATTATTCTCACATGCATACACAAAGGCATACGCACACACGGGAACTTAATTGTTTAATAACTTTTCTTGTCGATGGACGATCTTCATGAAACTTTTAGATTAGTATTATAACATGGGTATGCATGCATTTGCCAAAGCACAAGTCTCTAGTAGTTGAAATACGCCATTTACAAAGGTGATGGTGAGGGGGTGGATATAGGGGTGGGGGATAAATTACAACAAAAATGGATATCATATAAAATACATATAAAGTTTGGAAACTGTAGCTGTAAAGGTGTAAGAGATATAATTAAGTGACTAGCTCTCGATAAGGTTTTTATTCGATAATAAAATATCGGGAGTAGTTATCGATATTTAGAAAAAAAAACTGATATGCGCGTGATATACATGGACACCGAGGAAAAACAATTTCAAGTCTCTAGCTCTTATATCTTCTGAGGACGACTTACATACATACGGACGTACGGACAGACAGACGGACAGGGCTAAATCGACTCAGCTCGTCGCCCTGATCAAGAATATATGTATATACTTTTAGCGTCTGCCACGCCTCCTTCTGCCTGTTACTTACGATTAACAAAACCATTATACCCTGATTTCCCATTTTCAATGGGTTCAGTGTATAAAAATGAACGAAATATACAAATATTCACCTAAATATTTTCGTTTTATTAAGGTTTTTGATGATAGGTAAATAAACATATTGCGATTAGTCTTAATCGACTTATGTATGAATACTTCACACAAATGCATTAGGATTGCACCTGATGAAGATACTGAAAAGTTCATATGATATAATGGGTCATTATGTATTACGAATCTTCTAAGAACCATCTGGAGAGTCACTCTGGCTCTTTAAACTGTGGATGATATTATATTTGTTCACCTATTCTTGTGTAGAAAATAATAATAGAAATAAGCAAGTGGATATAAAATTAAATTTCGTGATAGAGCATTTATATTGTTGGCATGCTTGAGCGTTATAGGAAACGTATTTACTTATTGTTTTGGCAATGAACAATTTGAAACACATTAAACGTAATCACCAGCTGCCGCATACGTCCTGGGACAGTGCTTTTCCGCATACTTTACATAGGCAATATTGGAGGCAACTTTGATGCGCTCTCTCCTGGACGCAATGTTCCATATGTGTATCATTAATGAATCCTTAGTTCTTGCCATAGTTTCCTCCAGGTACCTGGGCTCAGTGAAATGCTTCCACTCTTGCCAAGGAATTGAATAGAATGCAGTCGTATTAAATAGTCGAAATCCTTTGCAACTCTTACGACCGCCTTCTATGGCTTTCATGAGGCTGGTGCCACAATATTTCAACAGAACGGCTGTCACAAGAGTTGGTCCATTTTGTACATAATCATTCCCATTGAAATATTTTTGATACTGCTGTAAAAATAATTCAGCAACTTCATGACCTATTCCATCGGCTGTCAAACTAATGACACCATTGGCCAAGGTATAATTAGATTCAGCTCCCACATAGTTCAGGGGCAATTTCTCTAAGCTCTTCAGGACAATAATATCCATGTCTAAATAGATGCCTCCAAACCGATAGAGACTTATAAGGCGGAGAAGGTCAGATGTGTGTTGCATCGGATAGCTGTGTATTTGAGCAGGAGAATTACGCTACACTCTAAAAGGAAATCAACATGAATTTAAAACTTACCTAGAGTTAAGCAATTCGCCCCTTTTTACCCAATCTTCAATAGGAGTGTTCATAGCATAGTCCCTTAAATTTAGGTGACGAAAGTTCACGTTCTCATAGCTTTCGATGGCATCGACGAGAAGTTTTTGACGACCGACGAGAGGGCGATAGGTGGGACAGGAAAACACAGTGAAGATTTGGAAGTTGGGATTATTCAGAGCAGCCGATTCTATTGAACAGGCTTGTCGAGCCGTCAGATTCATAATGTTGGATACCGAACCTGGAGAAGTGCAGCTGGTCTCATGAAAGAAAATACTACGTCCTAGCGGAGGCTTCGAGCTCGAATATAGTATATCCTCAATAACATTCTCAGTTGAAACAGATTTAGCTTTTAATGTATTGGGTAGGTCCTTGATAGTGGATAGTACGACTAGGAATATTAGAGTAACAACTAGAACTGGTATTACGCACTTCGACTTATTCTTCAACATAATGAACCGATGCTGCTGGGGATTAATTATCATCGTGAAATATAAAATTTTGTGTCTGTAACTTTGACTCATTTGAATGAATTTTTTTGGATTCATTTGGTTTCTTCTCATTCTTCGAATTATATAAATGAATAATGTTAGATTCATTTGATTTTTTCTCATTCGTAGTTAAGTTCTGACCTAGGGACTGTAATTTTGAAGAATTCAACCCATTCATATTTAGGTTTTGACTTTGGGCTTGCAACTTTAAAGAATTTAAATGAATAATTTTAGATTGATGAAATTTCTTATCATTCATGATATTATGATGATTTGCCCCTTGGGGTTTCGCGCTAATATGCTTAGCTAAAACTTTTGGATTTGTGTTACGAAGTTGTGGCTTAACATTCTTTAAGCTAATCATATTGGTTAAATTTGATGATTTATGTGTATTGGATAATAGCACCGCTTGCATTTTTTCAGGTGCCTTTTCCTGTTTTAAGTAATACGTAGATCCGACAAGATTTTGACGATTAGTAGTCACATTTAGATGATTTATCTTCACTTTTGGGGAAGCTTCAGGCATTTTTAGTTTTTTGAGGGTCAAATTTTGGGTTTGTTGTTGTAGATTTGTAATATTGAATGCAGATGCATTTTTATTATGAGCTGATGAGCCATTAAAGCTGTGTGAATGAATATTCTTAGGTGAATTTTTCTTAGCAAAATTTTGCGTTACGTGATCCGCTTTATTATATCCTTTTAGGGGTTTCGTCTGAGTTCCATTTTGAGGGAGTATCATATTTGCCGTTTTTAATGGAATTGCGCAATGGGAATTGTTAAATTCTGAAACTTTACTCTTATTCACATTCCATTTGTCATTATGCTTGGTAAGCTCAATTTGATTTTCGGTCTCCTTTTTAGAGAACGGGTTGAAGGACACCATAATAAAAACGATGCCAATAATTATAGCTACAAAGAGAAGGCGACGTCCCCAGATCAGGCACGGCGTCACCATCTTTTTTATGAACATTACAATCCTGAGCAAAGGTATAAGTGAGACTAAAAATTGTAAATTAATTGTGAAGGGGATATTAAAATACAATATCAATGATAATGCTCATGTCAGATTATTCAGCTGCATTTATTTAAGCATATATCGACTTCTGTTCTATTTCTAGACGATAAAAATGTGTGTGCAAAAAATGAACGAAACTTTAGACATGCATACAAATATACAATATTTATCTAAATATTTTCATGTTGTTAACATATGTATTGTAGGATTATGAAATTACGAAGTGAATTTTTATTCCCTGAAATCAGGGTATAATGGATTTGTTAAAAGTAGGTAACAGGCAGAAGGAGGCGTGGCAGACCCCATAAAGTATATATATTTTCGATCAGGGCGACGAGCTGAGTCGATTTAGCCCTGCCCGTCTGTCTGTCCATCCGCTCGTCCGGCCGCATGTATGAACGCGTCGATCCCAGAAGATATAAGGGCTAGAGACTTGCAATGTTTTCCTAGGTCCGTGTTTATCACGCGCATATTGAGTTTCTCTCAAAAAGCCGATAACTACTCCCGATATTTTGTTATCGATGGAAACCTTATCGAAAACTAGTTCGCGTATACCTTTAGAGGTAGAGTCCGTAGACTCATATGTATTTTATAGAATTTCGATTTTTGTTGTAAATTGTAAATTTAATGTCAATATCTAAAATATGTAAAAAAAAAAAATACAGTAAGTAAGTCTCTAGATATCATATTATTCAAAATACGTTTAAAATCATATACAATTATTGAATATTAGTGATAATAAGTAAATCAGATGAGTTTTCTCTAGCTATTCTGGTGTTCATGCACATGCATGAACATAGAAATATGACAAATATGAGAACATACCCTCTACGCATTTAACGGCTAGCATACATAAAATAGATAACATGTGCGACATGTATGGACTCTCACGATAGACAGATGAACTGTGACCCTGGCAATCGCAGCAACAAGAATATGTCAGCGACGAGCGCTGAGCCCTACCAACTCAGCGATAAGATAAGAATAACTAATAGATCCACGCTGAGCCTTATAAGCTCAGCGATAAGATAAGAATATGTAATAGACCAACGAACCTTACACACTCAGCAATAGACGCACTAGATTTAAGGGTTGAAAATATGCATGAGTCTCGGTACATAAACCCAGACTCAGAAGAATAAAGATCAATTTAAAACTAAACACCATCATAGTCAAGTGTATTCGTTCATCTGGTTTAAGATGTAGCTGCGTTCGTAGCTGTTTGAATAGCTTATATAGGACACGTATTTATTTTAGAAATATATTGTTTGAAACCGACATAAATAAAATACATTATAAGTAATCACCAGCTACCGCATACGTCCTGGGACAGTACTTTTCCGCATACTTTACATAGGCAATATTGGAGGCAACTTTGATGCGCTCTCTCCTGGACGCAATGTTCCATATGTGTATCATTAATGAATCCTTAGTTCTTGCCATAGTTTCCTCCAGGTACCTGGGCTCAGTGAAATGCTTCCACTCTTGCCAAGGAATTGAATAGAATGCAGTCGTATTAAATAGTCGAAATCCCTTGCAACTCTTACGACCGCCTTCTATGGCTTTCATGAGGCTGGTGCCACAAAATTTCAACAGAACGGCTGTCACAAGAGCTGGTCCATTTTGTGCATAGTCTTTCCCATTGAAATATTTTACATATCGCTCTAAAAATAGTTCAGCAACTTCATGACCTATTCCATCGGCTGCTAAACCGATGACAGCATTGCAGAGGGAATAGTTAGATTCAGCTCCCACATAGTTCAGGGGTAATTTCTCTAAGCTCTTCAGGACAATAATATCCATGTCTAAATAGATGCCTCCAAACCGATAGAGACTTATAAGGCGGAGGAGGTCAGATGTGTGCTCCATCGGAAAGCTGTGTATTTGAGCAGGAGAATTACGCTACATTCTAAAAGGAAATCAACAAGAATTTAAAACTTACCTAGAGTTAAGCAATTCGCCCCTTTTTACCCAATCTTCAATAGGAGTGCTCATAGCATAGTCCCTTAAATTTAGGTGACGAAAGTTCACGTTCTCATAGCTTTCGATGGCATCGACGAGAAGTTTTTGACGACCGACGAGCGGACGATAGGTGGGACAGGAAAACACAGTAAAAATTTGTAAGTTGGGATTATTCAGAGCAGCCGATTCTATTGAACAGGCTTGTCGAGCCGTCAGATTCATGACATAGTAACGTGAATTTCTATAAGTGCAGCTGGTCTCATGAAAGAAAATGCTGCGTCCTGGCGGAGGCTGTAAGCTTGAGTGTAGAATATCCTCTGTATCACTTTGATTTGAAGCAAATTCTGTTTCGAATGACTCTAAGTCAGAAATTTTGCTTAAACTTGTATAGAGATCCTGCATTGTGGACACTATAACTAACAGCATTAGAATAGCAGCCAGAGCTGGTATTACGAGACGTCGGCTTTTCATTAGTAAAATATAAAATTGTTGCTTTAGAGCTGCGATCATGATGAACCGTGCGGACTGTGCCTAAGCGCTTTACTAATTACCATCTAAGTCAATTGCGAATCATTCCGTCCATACAGCATACTGCAGTTACAACAGTCAGTTTATTCAGCTGCTTCAATTTGTATAGAGTCTTAAGTTATAGCATTCTATGCCGCTTCTCCAATATATTAACATGTGAATTGTTAGTTTGTATTACATATTTGGAGAATTAAAATATGTTTTTATTGTCTAACCGTCAATTATTTAATTGCAAGTGTGTTAAAGTTAAATGAATGCTCTTAGAAATAGCCACCAGCTGCCTCATACGTTCTGGGACAGTTCTTTTCCGAATACTTTACATACGCAGCGTTGGATCCGACTTTGATACGCTCTCCCCTAGAGAGCTTGTTCCACATGTGTATCATTAATGAATCTTTAGTTCTTGCCATAGTTTCCTCCAGGTACCTGGGCTCAGTAAAATGCCTCCACTCTGGCCAAGGAATTGAATAAAATGCAGTCGTATTAAATAGTCGAAATCCCTTGCAACTCTTACGACCGCCTTCTATGGCTTTCATGAGGCTGGTGCCACAATATTTCAACAGAACGGCTGTCACAAGAGTTGGTCCATTTTGTACATAATCATTCCCATTGAAATATTTTTGATACTGCTGTAAAAATAATTCAGCAACTTCATGACCTATTCCATCGGCTGCTAAACCGATGACAGCATTGCAGAGGGAATAGTTAGATTCAGCTCCCACATAGTTCAGGGGCAATTTCTCTAAGCTCTTCAGGACAATAATATCCATGTCTAAATAGATGCCTCCAAACCGATAGAGACTTATAAGGCGGAGAAGGTCAGATGTGTGTTGCATCGGATAGCTGTGTATTTGAGCAGGAGAATTACGCTACACTCTAAAAGGAAATCAACATGAATTTAAAACTTACCTAGAGTTAAGCAATTCGCCCCTTTTTACCCAATCTTCAATAGGAGTGTTCATAGCATAGTCCCTTAAATTTAGGTGACGAAAGTTCACGTTCTCATAGCTTTCGATGGCATCGACGAGAAGTTTTTGACGACCGACGAGAGGGCGATAGGTGGGACAGGAAAACACAGTGAAGATTTGGAAGTTGGGATTATTCAGAGCAGCCGATTCTATTGAACAGGCTTGTCGAGCCGTCAGATTCATAATGTTGGATACCGAACCTGGAGAAGTGCAGCTGGTCTCATGAAAGAAAATACTACGTCCTAGCGGAGGCTTCGAGCTCGAATATAGTATATCCTCAATAACATTCTCAGTTGAAACAGATTTAGCTTTTAATGTATTGGATAGGTCCTTGATAGTGGATAGTACGACTAGGAATATTAGAGTAACAACTAGAACTGGTATTACGAGACGTCGTCCCATGATGTAAACGCACTTCGACTTATTCTTCAACATAATGAACCGATGCTGCTGGGGATTAATCACAAACTAACAATAACACCAATAATAAGGTTTATACATCTTGAATTTTCCTAAATTTCGATTGCCGCCATTCAGTGTAGTCAGGTGTTTAATGTTTTTGTTTGCTTAAGACATTCTGGTTTGAAAACTAGAAGAACAAAACACTCCCAAAATGCTTGAGATACATTTTAAGTTCAGTGGGTGTAGCTATGAAGATTCAGATAGGTAGATATATAATGTTAATTTTGTATCATAACGTTGTTTTAAAAATGTTTACCGCCAAATTACAATAATAGGGAGAAATGGTCAGCTATTGTGATTGATTGCGGAAAATTTAATGAGCTCACAATAGATCCGATCATTTCGCGGTGAGTCCAATATCAGATAGTTTTAATTGTTCAATAATTTTCATATTGCACTATTATTGAATTAAGGAAAACAGATGAGACTCAATTGAGCAATTATAAGAAAAGTTAGCAGTCAATTAATTTTAAATTCTTGTTGCTGCCAAGCCACTGAAATTAATCGATATTTTCAAAGCATCCACGCTATATCATTTGCCCATCTCCAGTGTAACGGCACTTGTCAAAACGTAAGCGCTAAATTAGTTCTGGCGTGCTTTCACATTTATATTTTCACGTGGAATCCTAATATCAAAGTCCCACAATTTAAGGTTGCCAAGATGCGGCGCCGTGACATTTTACGTTTGTGGGCTCAGATAGTACAACACACAGGCATAGAGAAATACACCGCTGAGGAATGGCAGGAACACTATGAGGATTTCTGGAAATGCATGCAAACGAATGAAAATCCGTATATACGTGTTGAAAGTGTAAATAAATGAGCAGCACATATGTTTTAGTATAACGATTCAAATCGAGTTTTACTTTTACCCCATAGATTGACTTAATGTTAAAGGATGATGTATCAATTAAACCAGTGCAACAAATCCAACGGACAAAAAGGAATAATGAAGCGCGGATTGATAATGACGAATTGGAGCCACAGAGTGTGTTACGAAAACGCCTTAAATTAGAGGCGGATAAAATGTTATTGATGCAGAAATCAAATGAATCAAAAGTGGCTCCTGGAATGAAGTGTACGCGAAAGAGAAATATAAATGATAAAATCGAGGATCATATTCCAAATTCACATACCATTATTGCAGACGAGCCAATGACAAGCTCAAAATTACAAGATAAGAAAACAAGGAATAGAGTATCGTTATCTAATAGGGATAATTTGCCAAAAGGTAAAGCAACAGATAGGGCAGAATCTTCAATTAAAAAATTAACGAACAACAATTGCACTCCGAATGTCCAGAGTGACTCACCTGAGAAGTGGAATCTGCCAAAAGAACAGCTATCTGATGAAGAACAAGAAACTTTAAATGAACAGAGGGAACAACTTCAATTAGAGGAGGAGATTAGCCATCTAGAAGCTGAACTGGAGCAGTTATATGAGGCGGACACACAGCCTGAGAAACCGATGATGCAAAACAAAAATTCGAATAAAGAAAAGAAAAATAAAAAACTGGTGGATGAGCTGGAGGATGAGCAAAGGAAGCAAGAAATCGTTAGGATAAAAAAACTAAAAGTACAAGATAAATTAATTGATGAGATGGAGCTGGATAATGAAAAGCAAGTAGATGAACAGGAATTTTTAAATAAGTTGGAGCATGAGATTTGGATTCCGAAAGAAGACCAAGGAAATCTAAAAATAGAGGAGAAAAAAGATAAGAATGTATCAATGCAAGATAATACAAAACAAATAAATGTAGAAAAATGCCAAGAATCAGAGCAGCAAAAGTTACAAACGCCGCAAGAAGTGGAGGAGAGTATTTCGTTTTCAAAATCTGTGAAAGAGAAAGAAAAGCAGAAGGAGCTTACTGAGCCTGAGCCCGATCCAGAGCAGATTATTACAAATATCAAGGTACGTAATACAAGTCACAAACGCATTATTTAAATAAATGCAAAATTTTTTTCATTTTAGGAAAGCAAAAAAAATTTAAAAAATTCTTTAGTAGAGCTTTCCGTGCAGAACTTGTCAAAGAAGGCTGAAGAGCAATTAGACAGTATTAATTTAAGCACCAGCGCAGAACCAGAATTAAATAAGAAGCTAACAGAAACCCGATATGGAATGCGCACACGTTCGCAATATGTAGAGAAACAAGAACCAAACAGAGCAAATCAAGAACAACAGCAAGTGAATCCGAAAAAAAGAAAACCCAGATCATCCCGTAAATCAAATGCTGTAAACTTAATTTGCGTTACCCTAGAGTTCTCGCCACCTAATCAATTTTTTTTGTTACCACAGATTAATGAACAGATGGCGCATATGCCAGAAAAAGCAATCGATATGTCTCCAACCAATCATGCAGCTTGTACTGCGGCTCCTGTAACTGAAAAAGATTCGTCATCAATTGAGCCCGAAAATCTCAGCATAACTCAGTTAAGTAACGATTTAGAAACTCCAAAAAGTGACGATTCCGTAACGTTAAACCAGACGGATTCTTTTGAATTTGGCAAACCAGATTCGACATATTCCAAAGCCAATTGTGAACTAGAAGATAAGCTCATCAAAGAAGTCATGGAACTGGCTGTACCAGGTGGCGGAAGTACGGATATAAGTCAGTTATTGACTGACGTTGGCAAATGCGAAATGTTTCAATCAGGTGTGGAAGAAATCGATCGTTGTTTGGAAGTGTTCATTAATAAGACGCCTAGTGAAATTGATCATCAGATAGCTGATACATCTGAATTTTTCGATAACTTGCCCAGTCTATCAACTTTAGTGGATAAAACGCCTTTGGAAATGGAAGTACTAATGAATGATACGCTCAATTATGATGTTGATGTCGAAGATGATGATGATGATAATGATGCCATATCGGTGACCACATCCTGGGATGGCGATGATCAATTGCCAGTGCCGAATCCCGTGTTGTCTGAGAAGGAATCAACTATTGGAGAGCAGCCTGAGATGATTAAGTCCACTGCAGAGACGGACCCTGCAATACAGAGCAGAGAATCGCTGTCCTACCGCATACTCAAAGGGACAGATACTCAGACAGAGAAGCTGCAACCACATAAAGAACAAGTACAACCGACTCAAACTGTTGTAGACCGGGAAATGATGGAGCTGCAGCAGCTAGCGCCACAACAAAAGAAGCAGACACGGCCACAGCCAAGGAATGAACAAGTTATACAGGCTGAGGCACCATTGGACGTGCAACCGAATCAAAGTGCTGTAGACCGAGACAAGATGGAGCTGCAGCAACCATCGCCAGAACAGAAGCAACTACTGCAGCAACAGCAATGTCAAGAGCGAGGGCAGCAATCGCTTCCACGGTTGCAATTTATTCCATTACATCGTACAATTAGACAGGATTCGTTACCTACAGAAGAAGCCAATAATGTCCCCCTTTTTGGGCCTCTATATCGTGTGCCTTTGGAACCAGCTTCCACCGCTCAATCCGCTATTCCAAATGAGTGCAAATATTTTATATTTGGCATTAAATGCTGGGCTTATTTGGACGGCCGCTGCCAGGACAGCAACTGCAATCACAGGCTGGCGAGCCCGTGGGAAGTGCAGCGGAAGCTGAACCAGATGACGACCGATAAATTGTGTGACACCTACAGCATGGTCTTGCGACATGGCTTGTTGTTCCGAAACTATTTTATTATTTTCGCTGAGATCTATGGCAATCGGGGCATGATGTCGTATTTAATGAAAATGGTTGAGGATTGTGGCTTATATATGGCGTATAGTGCACCCTATATCACGGAGCTCTACTCTATCTTGATGCGTTACAATCTAATGCCACAAATGGCAACCGACCACATTATGAAGCATCTATGGGGTCCAGAAATTGGTCAAATCTATCCGGAATTTGCTATGCAACTTCTCCGAATTCTTGCGTCAGCTGATTGGTTTAACTATGTGCCGCAACTGAAGCATCTCTTCGAGAATCAGAAATTTCCCATACCCGGCGAATTCATGATATGCTTGACTAATGATGCCATTGCCAAAAAGGACAACGCGCTCGTTAGGAAAGTCTGGGAGATGATGCTCTTTTGTCCCATAAACCGAAACGATGCCACATTGACTTCAGTCGTGCAAATTGTGAACGATTGGTGTTTATCAAATCCGTCGACAATGCTGCCGCAGCAACTGCAACAGCAACCAAACCACCCATCACAGGAAAAAGAACAGCCGCAAATCTTAAAGAGACGCTTCAACAATTCCGCTCAAAGAAAGAGAGGGAGGAATAATTCGGCAAATCGATGATTATGTAAGCGTCTAAAAATAATATTAATTTAATAATAATAATCCGCTTCTCTTTTCTTTTTTTTTTTTAAAGGGCTCCTGGATGACTATCGCTTTTAACTGTTGAGCAGCACTAAGTGAACGAAATTTATACTTTTATTTTTATTTTTTATTGATTCTTACACAATTGAAATGTGTATATAATTTTGTTTTATTATTAACTTAGATTTATAAACGGATTTAAATACTTAAAATCTAGTTTTTCTTTTTGCCCCGATTCCAGTTTTTTTTAGCCCCGCCACCGTCACGGCCGCCACCCGCTACTCCCTTGCCCTTTCCCATGGGTTTCATGCGCTTCCGAGCGCCTGTAAACTGCTCGGAGTCATCAATATCACCAAGAGCAGCGCGTTTATTGCCTTTGCTGCCCTTATAGCTCTTGCTATCTTCTAGATCTTTTAGCTCCAGCTTGGCCGTGCGTTGCGCTTCGGCGACGCGTTCTTGCAGCGCCATCACCTCGTCCTCCTCGCATTTGTAGAGCGGCAACTGCTTGCCTAACAATTGCTCAATGCGCTGATACAGCTCAATGTCATACTGAGTGACCATAGTGATGGCTTGACCAGACCGGCCGGCACGTGCAGTGCGCCCAACACGATGTATATAGTCCTTGCTGTGCGTGGGTATATCAAAATTGACAACCACATCGACGTGAGGAATGTCGAGACCACGCGAAGCTACATCTGTTGATATCAATATGGAGCGATTCTTCGCCTTGAATTTGTTCAGAGCAGCTAAACGTTTATTCTGAGACATCTGACCATGTAGCGGAATAGCAGCCAATCCTAGGGCGCGCAGCATTAGCGCGGTCTTAACAGTATTGTTACAGGTGCTACAGAAGATCATGAAGCTGTTGCCTGCCAATTCGTTGAGTATATGCACGAGATACACATCCTTGTATTTAACTGGTATGAAGATGTAGTACTGTTGCAGCTGATCCACTGTTTGGTATTTGTTGGATACTTCCACCTTGACGGGATCTTTAAGAGATGCGCGCTGTAGCTTTTTAACTTTCTTTGTCATAGTGGCGCTAAACAGAAACGTGCGACGCTCGCGCGGTAAAACCTTTAATATCTTGTCTAGCTCCACCTCGAAATCCATATTGAGTATGCGATCCGCCTCGTCCATGACCAAGTACTTAATAGCCTTCAAATTAAATCCCTTCAAGTTCTCCAGATGATCCACCAGACGCCCGGGCGTAGCAATTATTATGTGCGGTTTCTTTGCCAGTTGCAAGCCCTGTGCCACCATATCCATGCCACCAACTACCACACAACATTTGATGCCTATGCCGCTACCTGCGGAGAGAGATAGAGAAGAAATCAATTGAAAATGTTGCTCATTTTGGGTTAGCATACCATAGAGATAACATTTTACTCAGAGGTAGTGACGAATAAAGAAATAATAATTTCATATTTTCGTTTAAGAACAAAAAATCAAAAAGAGTTTTTACATCATTGTGGATATATATATATGAATAATATGTATTTAACTAGACTCACCCAGTGCTTCGAACTGTTCACCTATTTGAAAAGCCAATTCACGCGTGGGCGTCAACACCAGCGCAAAATAACGCTGTGGATTCTCGAGCAATGCATGTAAAATGGGCAAGGCAAATGCTCCCGTTTTGCCTGAGCCGGTTTCCGCCAGGCCAATGATGTCTTTTCCCTGCAGTGCAACAGGTATTGCCTCCTTTTGAATTTTCGAGGGCGCCTTCCATTTCAGCTCTTCGCATGCTTTACATAAAGTCTCGTTAAGTCCCTACACATTACAAACAAAAATTATTGAATGGTGTTTGATATGCTTGCTTATTCTCAAAAATTTACAAGATCTTTCCATGTCTGCAGCTGTTCGCATTTGGGAGCCTCAGTTTCTTCGGATTCATCAGGGTCACTAGTGTCTTGATCTTCAGCATTTTCACCGTCAGCTTCTGCGTCATCTTCAATTTCTTCCTCACCACTTATCTCTTCCTCGGTTGTTTCCACTTGAGCTTGTTCGTCTTCTGAAGTTTCCGACATATTGTTACATATTATTCTACACTTTAGCTCTTGCGGATATTACCAGTCGCCACACGTGCTCGTTGAGAAAAGAACGCTACGGAGTAAAATGTGGAAGGCATATGCTATCGAAATAGTATCGAGTATTATTTAAGTAAGCGGCAACCCTTATTGAATATTCTGCAATATATCATAAAACTCCAAGCTAAATTTTCCTTTCAAATTATCGCCAACGCAACAAATATATAAGCATTCAAACACTCCTTATCAGTATTTATTTAAATTTATATAGAAAAATAAATTGGACACGGTTTACAGCAGCCCTGAACTAGTGAATGAACAAACCAAATCAAAGTTAATTTTTTCGGTTCGTTCACCTGAGGGATAGTTCGTTATGCTTAGTTCGTGAACATTTAATTTGCACGACAAAACGAAGCTAAAAAATAACAGAAACGTAACTAAATTTAGTGTTCAAATGAAAAGTAAGCACTTAATCGAGCACCACACAAGGCACACAATTCCAACAATTAGAATGAAATAGAAATCAATACCAGCAATATATGGAGGTGAATTTTTCGAGCAACTAAAACGCCCACCAAATAACCGAGTGTCAATTCCGATACAACTGAAACATTTACAAACTCTAAGCTGAGGTGTTAGTTTCCTATTTGTTGTAGTTGTTGCCGTTAGATAAGATTATGATGTGTTTCTAATAATCTACAATTACATTTTAGGTAAACCATAAAAATCCATTGTGAAAAATTGTGGGGTGGTGGGAGCAAAACGGATACTCAATAGTAAAAAGAGCGTAAGCCAGCGCAAAGGAGAGTGTGTGTGTGAGTGCACAGTGGAGAGGAGCATGACATGTATTTGATGTGTACTCAGCGGCCGAAGAGAGCGCATTAAACAAGAACAAAACACACGCACGCAACTGCGAGAAAGCTTCTTGTCGTTGTGTTGTCGGTGTGGGAGAGTCAAAGTCGGTTACGAAAAATACGCGGCGTAAAGCGTGTGTGGATAGCATAAAACACACATAGATACAACCATACACACTTAATCATATATACAGAGTGTAGTATATTTTGCGAAGCTCGCACTCCAAGTAGAGGCACACAGAAAACAGGGAAACAAAATGAATCCAGCAGTGGATGCGTGGGTTATTACCCAGCGGGAGAAGCTCAAGTACCAAGAGCAGTTCAAGGCACTACAACCCCAGGGCGGCTTTGTAACCGGAGCCCAAGCAAAAGGATTTTTTTTGCAGTCCCAGCTGCCGCCGCTGATCTTGGGTCAAATATGGTGAGTAGCGGAACTGACTCATTTGTTGTTAATATGTACATATATGCACACATACGGTTATCCACTATGCAATGCTGGCAAAGATAAGATGACAATAACAACAATTTTGCCGATACTTTGTTTTGTTCTTTGTTTTCCCATTTTGTTGATATGAACTAGAGATGTGCTAATGAATTGCTGCAAACTAATTCGTAGGCACGAATCACGAAAAATATAAAACTTTTTATATATGTTTTTTGTAGAGAATTTAAATTTTCTCCTTAAGTAACTCAATTAAATATTATTATTATTAGTTTATTATGAAGTTTTATATATTGGCACTGTTCACTTATAGTTAATCATCAGTCTTCAATATAAAATGGTCAATAACACAGTGAATTTATTAGACGGTTAGAAAACCATAGCAAATTATTAGCAGTTGATCCTTTTTTGAAAACTGATATTAACTGTAAAAATATAACAATTTTTGTATTTCTTTATTTCTTTTTATATTTCATGTTTTATTTACAATAAAAATAAAGAATAACTCGATATGATCTATGATTTATGTACTAAAAATTTCCATACATGCGTACATCTCTAAAATGTTGTTTGTGTTTTGCATGTGTAGGGCACTGGCTGACACGGACTCTGATGGAAAAATGAATATTAATGAGTTCAGCATAGCTTGCAAGCTTATCAATTTGAAGCTACGCGGCTTGGAAGTGCCCAAAACTTTGCCTCCCACACTGCTCAGCTCGCTAACGGATGTTGTAGGCGGTCCGTCGCCTGCCATGACGCCCCGTGGTTCAACCAGCTCCATGAGTCCCGTGGATGCATTGAAAAACATTGCAGCTGTACCGCCGGTCGTGCCCATTGCTGTTGTTCCACCTCCAGTTGTGGCACCACCTGTGGCGATTCCACCACCAGTTGCGGTTCCTGTTGCTGCTGTGCCCGCAGCGATTGTCTCGCCTCCGCAAAGCAATCCACCTAGTCGTCATATGTCCATTTCGGAGCGTGCTCCTTCCATCGAATCGCCGTAAGTAAACCAGAGAAGAAAAGAGAGACACTCTTTTAATATATTATTTCCTCCATCTACAGTCAGGCAGAGTGGGCCGTGCAGGCGGCACAAAAACGCAAATACACGCAGGTGTTTAATGCCAATGATCGCACCCGGTCGGGCTTTTTGACGGGTGCCCAGGCCCGTAGTGTGCTTGTGCAGAGCAAATTGCCGCAGGTAACGCTGGCGCAGATTTGGACACTTGCCGATATAGATGGTGATGGCCGACTCAGTTGCGACGAGTTCATCTTGGCCATGTTTCTGTGCGAAAAGGCTATGGCTGGTGAGAAGATACCCGTTACTTTGCCACTCGATTGGGTGCCGCCCAGCCTGCGTAAGATCAAGTCGCGACCGGGTTCCGTCTCCGGTACTGTGTCTCGCCCAGGCTCGCAGCCGACGTCACGTCACACGTCGGTTTCCTCACAGGGCGCCGTCATGTCGGATGCTGATCCTACTGCCGGCTTGCCGCAAAGTAAGTAGAACATTAGATGTTCATTACCATGATAAAACCATCGATATATTTAGCTTCGTTCGAGGACAAGCGCAAGGAGAACTATGAGAAAGGCAAGGTTGAACTGGACCGCAGGCGTAAGCTAATGGAGGATCAACAACGTAAGGAGCGGGAAGAGCGCGAGCGCAAGGAACGGGAGGAAGCAGAAAAACGCGAAAAGGCGCGTCTTGAAGCTGAACGCAAACAACAGGAGGAACTGGAGCGTCAGCTTCAGCGTCAGCGTGAAATCGAGCAAGAGAAGGAAGAGCAGCGCAAACGTGAGCTGGAAGCCAAAGAGGCGGCCAGAAAGTCGGTGGACAAGCATAAAAATTCTAAGTGAATATTATTAAATAATTACAATTTCTTCTTGATAGGGAGCTGGAGAAGCAACGTCAACAAGAATGGGAACAATCACGCATTGCCGAAATGAATGCGCAAAAGCAGCGGGAGCAGGAGCGTGTACTCAAGCAGAAAGCACACAACACTCAGCTAAACGTGGAGCTCAGCACACTGAACGAAAAGGTACCTAGAGCACACATGCAAATTCAATAATAACTAAATTCGTCTCGCTTACAGATCAAGGATCTATCGCAAAAGATATGCGATACACGCGCTGGAGTTACCAATGTCAAGTCAGTGATTGATGGCATGCGCACTCAGCGCGACACTTCCATGAGCGAAATGGCGCAGTTGAAGGCGCGCATCAAGGAGCAAAACGCAAAGTTGCTGCAGCTAACACAGGAACGAGCGAAATGGGAAGCCAAGAGCAAAGTAAGCGGTGCCATACCCGGCGAGTCAGGACAGCAAGAGCAGCTAAACGCAGCGTTTGCGCACAAGCAGGTGAGGAAATCTGAACAAGATCTCAAATAAAATATACGGAATATTTAATGTTTAATGCTTATGTTCATTGTAGCTGATGATTAAGCAGATCAAAGATAAAGTGGAAAATATTAAAAAAGAAATCGAATCCAAGAAAGAAGATCTCAATTCGAACGATATAACCATGCAGGAGCTGAAGGCCGAGCTTTCTGCACTGATTACCAAATGCGAGGATCTGTACAAGGAGTACGATGTGGAGCGCACGGCGGTGCTCGAATTGAAATATAATCGCAAGAATGAGACAGCCACAATAAGCGCCACATCTGCTTGGGATACTGGCAGCGCTTGGGGCAGCACTGCCACCAGTGTGCCAGCTGCTGTCGATGCCTATAGTGGTTATGGCCTAAACAATGATACAGCCGCTGCTGAAACGGTGGCCGCTGTTGATCTGAGTGGGCCGGCGCCTGAGGGTTTCGTTAAATATCGCGCCGTTTATGAGTTCAATGCGCGCAACGCAGAGGAGATTACGTTTGTGCCAGGCGACATAATCTTGGTGCCTCTGGAGCAGAACGCTGAGCCCGGCTGGTTGGCCGGTGAAATTAATGGTCATACTGGCTGGTTTCCCGAGTCCTACGTGGAGAAGCTGGAGGACGGGTCAACAGCATTGGCAACCGGAGAGGCAGTGGCAGTGCCAAGTGTTGCTGATACTGCTGCGACCCTTACCAATAGCTACTTGGACAATAACGCCTTGGCGGCACAGTCAGCGCTGGCAGCAACTGACGCTGCTGCTGCTGTTACTGATGCTGCTTTAGGCGATGTCGAATACTATATAGCCGCATATCCTTATGAATCCGCCGAGGAAGGTGACCTGAGCTTTAGCGCTGGCGAAATGGTCATGGTCATCAAGAAGGAGGGCGAATGGTGGACGGGTACTATTGGCAATCGGACCGGCATGTTCCCATCGAACTATGTACAAAAGGCCGATGTAGGCACAGCTGCTGTCGCCAATTCAGCTGAAGCTGCAGTTGAACCTGAACCCGTCGAACAGGTGAGTCTATGTCATAATCATTTAAATCACAAAATGCAGTCAAATATAATAATACTGCAACTGCATAAAGTAACGCACGATTCGTGTTTAACCATCATGTGCTCATCTACTAATCCAATGCTTTTCATTTGCTGATCCCCAATATCATCAACACACATCACGATGCTCGCTCGTCCAGGAGGTCACACACAATGGCATTAGTGCTTCATATGCTGCTCAGCCAGAATCAGTAGAAGTAAAGCAGTCACAGACCCAGCCGGCCGAGCTGGAGGAGTCGCACACAAACGAAGATCTCGACACTGAAGTATCGCAGATAAACACGCAATCCAAAACACAGAGCGAACCGGCCGAAAGCTACAGCCGGCCCATGTCACGTACTTCTTCCATGACACCCGTAAATAGCTGACCTACATGCGCCCACACTTCCAGCTCCATAAAACTTAACTAATCCGTACTTCGTAAATTACTTTGCAGGGCATGCGCGCCAAGCGTTCGGAGATAGCACAAGTTATAGCACCATACGAGGCCACCAGCAGCGAGCAACTGTCGCTGACACGTGGCCAGCTGATCATGATACGCAAGAAGACCGACTCCGGCTGGTGGGAGGGTGAGCTGCAGGCCAAGGGCAGAAGGCGTCAAATCGGTTGGTTCCCGGCCACCTATGTCAAGGTGTTGCAGGGCGGACGCAACAGTGGACGCAATACACCCGTCTCTGGCAGCCGCATCGAAATGACCGAACAGATTTTGGGTTGGCTATAAAACTTATCCAACAGTTGAACATGTTTTTAAATATAGTTTTTTCTTCACATTCAGACAAGGTGATTGCTCTATATCCGTACAAAGCACAAAACGATGATGAGCTCTCGTTCGAGAAGGACGACATCATCAGCGTACTGGGACGCGATGAGCCGGAATGGTGGCGCGGCGAGCTGAATGGCCTGTCTGGTTTGTTTCCCAGCAATTATGTGGGACCATTTGTTACGTCCGGTAAGCCAGCGAAAGTGAATGGCACTAAAACCAAGTGAATCTCCACAACAAGCGCCAGCCACAACCATGACGATGCTTTACAAGTAGTCACACCCTCCTCACACACGCGCTCTCTTTTCTCCCACATTCCAGTTTATTTTGTGTATCTAAAGCTAAAAATTCTATTTTAATTTCTGCCTTCATATCGAATAAGTAAAGCCAATTTGTTCTCGCCACGCCTAACATCTCGGAAGCTATTTATCTAATGATTTTTAGCTTTAATTTGTTGCAATATCTACACTCATGTATGATTTACCTATATGTATATTGTTAATTGTTATTATTTAGTTGTTTAGCAATTATTTAATTTTAAGTTAAATGCCCAATCCAAACACGTTTGTATCCTTGTTAGCCAATCTTTAGCTTTAATTGATATTAATTTGCATTTACATGCATGCATATACATATACATATACATATATTTACTATACGTACATTTTGTGTATTTAGTCCATTGATTTTGTATTTATTTTGTATAATTTTTTTGTATTTTTACCTGCTATTATTTACACATTGATACAAATATGTTTATTCTGTATATAAAAAGGAAGTCCAAAATCGAAAATCTAATTGATTTTTATTTGAATCTTTAAACTCTTTGCTGATGCGCGCAGGAAACGTATAACGAGTCATCGGGTTTGGTCTTTAAACGGCGTTAGGAGTACGCCGCACACAACAACAACTACAACAACAATAAAACCAGGTCTTCACGGACCCATATATTAAGTTCATCTAAAAATTAATCAGTATCTAGTCAAAATTTAGCGAGATTTTTTTAGTTTCGTAACTTTGTTCAAACTTTTTAAAGACGTCTTATATTATCACAGACCATCCTAATTGTACCAAGAAATTTAATAAGTATTAAAAAATTATGAAGTTGTTTAAAAGTTAGGACTCTCGCTCTCTCACGTTAAGGCAGTTTATCATCTTCAGCTTTATAGTTTTAAATATATGAGATATTTTATTTGACTTTTTTTAAGATTCAAGGATCTTGTCGTAAAATCAAATGTGCAACTTTAAAGAAAACTCATAAATGTAATCAATCAAATTACCATAAAGAATACAAATCGCAATCGAAATCAAGTTAAATACAAACATATTTAATAGTATATATACACATATAATATGCATATAGAATGAGACAAAAGAAATACATAATTATATCAAGGAAAATATTTCAATTTTGTTGTATTAGATGTGTTTCACTCAATGCATATACTATAAACATTTAAAGTGTTTTTCCCCCAAATCAAATCGAAAAAAATGCAAGATATATATATATATATATATATATATATACTAACTACCTTTGAAACTACACACATATATAAAGATGGTTTTCTGTGTTTTCCAATAATATGCGCATGTGTTTGTATATAACATCTATTTAATGTTAATTGTTAACTAAATACTAAGCTCTCAGAACTATATATACAAACAAATATATATATATATATACATATAAAAAATTGGTATGGAAGAGAAGGCTTAAAAGCACACATACAACAGTATTGGTAATACGTATAACATCTTTAATCGCTTAACTATATATATGATTTTTGTTTTGTTTATAGACCTGATTTAATTGTTTAATACTTTAAGCGCTTACTTTAACTGCCATATTTCAATTAGTTTTGCAAGCAGCATTTAAAGCGGGATTAAAAGTTGATTAGAATACTGTAAAACAAAAAAAAAAAATCAGAAAAAATAAAATAAAAAAATTATTGTATAAAATTTGTGGGTAGAACGTTATACGACTTCAATACAAGTTAGCTATATATAAACATACTATGATCTAGTGCAATATATATACAGCTATATTATGATCTGTTCTGTTATGCTGTGCATCAGTTCTATGCTAGTTATGGTTAAATATATAAATATACTTGAATATTCTAATAATGCTATATCTACAATGAAACCACTCACACTCTCGATTGCCTTTCAAAACGATATTCAGTAATTAACTTGATGAAAACTAATTTAGTAACTTGTTATTGCATACCATAAACTATACATATATGCATCTATATAGGACCTATAACAAAAAAAAAAAGAAAGAAATCCAAATCGATTAACGAAAAAACAAGAAAAGCTTTTCCTAAAACTTGCCTCATTAAATTGTTTTCGTATTCTTTTTTTTTTTTTTTTTTTTTTTTGTTTTGGCAAGTTTTTAGCTTAAACTTTAAAAACATATTTACATATGTGTGTAGCTAATGTTGGATTGATTTTGAAAACAAAAACAAAATATGATATATATATATTGAGTAAATGATATAAATTTCTTTAGCAAAATGTTAAATAGCAAAAAAATAAATAAAAACTATTCATGTTTACCTTAAGTATGGAATGCACACTTCTTATAGAGCCAAACACACAACAAACACTCACACACACTTGCATACATATAATGCTCATATAGGCGTATTTGTTTTTAGTCGTTAAAGCGTTCATGAATTTAACTAAACAGTAAAAAAAATATTATAAAAAAAAAAAAATAATAAAAAAATACAAATGAATAAATGGCAATTATTTAAATATGTACGCATTAGCTAGCACACACAAACACATAAAGATACACTTTAAAAGCGAAATGATGACCATCGATATATATTTACCTACAGACTAACATACACACATACAGACATATGCCTATATATATAATTCAAAAATTGTACGCTATGCACATGGAACTTGAACTTCTTATGTAGAAGTCTTGTTTATCGGTTAGATCTGCAGAGAAACAAACATAAATACATGCATAAATACATACTAAACACAAATATATATACATACATATATATAGAACGAGTTCTTCAAGACATGCTAATATTAAAATGAGAAAATACCAATAAACATATTAAACTATATCAGTTTCAAAAAGGAATAAGATTATGAAATTAAAAAAGCAAAAAAGAAAAAAATTAATACATATTTGGTGAAATAAATGTATAAATGAAATTTCAAACAAAAACTTTGATATTTGTATAGTTCTTTGGCGGCAGATGATGTCAGAGATAAGTTTATATATAAAATATTTCAATTGATATTATATTCATACCACAAAAGTCTCTGAAATAGTTTTAAATTTATTTAGTTATTTTATTTTCAAATACAATTTATAGTATCTTTTGATTTTCAATTCTCTAGATATTCGTCTTATGTACTTACACAGTTTTCAAAACTAAAATTCAAAGCGCGCCAACGGCAAGCTCAACCGCAATCTGTGCCACAACCGTAACCGCAAGTGCCACCGCAGCCTCAACCGCAACGGCAGCCAATCAAACGGCGTTACGTCCTCTGCAGCGCTTCTGGCAACACTGGCGCTGCAAGCCAGAGCCTGAGCGCAGTGATGCCATACCAGACGAACGGTTGCGCGGCAAAATTCAATCGGTCCACATAACGAAGCGCAGAGATGGCCAGCTGATGGGCTGTGCTTACGTCACCTTTGCATGCAATGAGACGCTGGCGCGGGCAATGATGGAGGACCAAAACAATCGTCTGGTGGGTCGTGGTGTCATCATGGACTGGCAGTTGCCCAAGAAACCCAATTGCACGCAGTGGCGCTGCTGGTGCTGAGCCATATTTTTTATTTGCTTTTGAAATGATATGTAAATTGCATATTTTTGATTTTTCATTTGATTTTTATTTTTAGTAAAATTTTCTTATACAATATTTAAAATCAGTTTAACAGTTTACAAGTTTTTTTGTGTATTATTTTTGCTGTATTTAATTTCCATTTTAGGTTTGTGTTTTGCTAAATAATTAGGTGAATTTTACTCTACTTTTTTTTTACCATATTTTATAATATGCACAACTTAAGGACTACAGTATGAAAATTTGCAAACTATTTTTAAATTTCTTTCAATTTATTTGGTTTAGTTTATGCTCTCAAGGAATTTATTTGTTGAGCTGTCGTTAATTATATAAAGTTTGCATTGCATTTACATATTCTGTATATTTATACATAGAAAACGCGCTCATAAGTAACACAGCTCTGATTTTATATCATTCATGTATTTTATTTCATAATTTTTATTTATTTCTTCTTGTTTGTTTTCTTTTAAGTGAACGACAATTCACAAGAAACTCGCACATTTCTTGCAGCTGTTTATTGTCTTTCGATTAAATAATAGAAAATATGTATTTTAGTTAACCAAAGAAAATTTATTTTTTAATAGTATAATTTATATCCAATCTTAACGGAATTTTCGGTAAATTGTATTTTTATTTTATTTATTCAGCTCAAATGTGCATAGTTAGAAGGCAATTTCTTGGATAAACTTAGACAAAGAATCACGTAGGACACAAATCTAGTAAACAATTATCGGTTAAGTGCGTTGCAAGTGAAATTGTACGTTTTGAAATCAGCAAATTGATGATAGAAATGGATTCTGTTCATTGAGGGCTCTTCACTTAATTTTCCATATATTATTGGGTTTTTATCTCGATCATACAGTCATACAGTCAAAATTCACGCATACTTCTTATAAGATAAGATTTACTCTTTGGTCGTCTCGAGCGACCCTCTCGTGCTAAACTTTCACATTATTCATTTTGTGGCTCGTAAATGTTTACAAAAATAATTTATAAATTACACAACTCTTGCTAAATAGCTATGAACTAGTTAGTATTTATGTAACATACTAATTTAGTTTCACTTATGAATACGTTTTTATTTATTTATTTATTTATTGGTATTATTTCGCAACTTGACTGCTTATGGCAAAAACTTTCGGCTTACTTTATACACGCTGATTAACGAATACTTCAGTAATTAATTAGTTAGAAAGTATGACTAAAATTGAACTAAACACTGTAGCTATACCGGTTAGAAACACAGTTCAAATTACGCTCAAATATATTTATTTTGTATATATTTAATATAAATTTATCTAAACTAAAAGCAAAAACAATGTTTCGACTTAATCTGAACTTTGGCTAAATTGTTAATGATAACACAATTGTTTCTGGAACACATTTGCATTAGGCTTTTTTAAATACAATGAAATACAATAGAATATGAATATATATTTAAGTAGATACGTTTCCAATTTTTCAAAGAAGCAATCAAATTTGTGTGCTAGTTTAGGTAGGTCGGTAATATACCCTTGCAGAGAGAATTCTAGATTTGTAAAGCATAGAAGATTTGATCTCTTTATATACTTGATAGCATCCGTATTCTACATTTTAAAGCAACTCACAAAAATTTTTGATATTTTTCTTAAATTTAAATTTGAAATTTAAAATTTTGACCTTGTATATCAATTATACAAATTGTTGCTATAGAATCCCATCTGCAAGGAAATTAATCTGCGGCAAGCCGTCGGTAGCTGTTCTCCCTTGGTATATACAGATTTTTAGTTATTTAGCTATAACATGATGTTTCTTTCATTCTTTTTTACTTTTAAGCCAAAATGTATGCACATATAGAACGAACTATATATAGCTATGTTGGGGTTTTATCGTTGCTGATCTCAGTAGAACATTTCGTATTGGAAGGGACTAAATCTGGACCGGACACGGGCTGTCCAACTAGCTGGAGCAGCTGCATCTGCGCTGCTCGACACTCAAATGATGCTTTCATCGTTGTTGCGAGTCAGGCGAATGCTCGTGGTGGTGGTGCTGGTGGTTGGACCACTGCCAGATGCTCCACCACCACCAGATCCGCCGCGTCTGCCCAGCTCGTGTAGGCGTGGCGTGAGTGGGGCTGTGAATGTGGTGACCACAATATTCTCATCGTCATACAAATCGAAATCCTCGCCTTCGTCATCGTCCTCGTCCTCGGTGTCGCTGTCAGTGTCCTCATAGTCTAGCAACGCGGTGGTCACTTGATTCTTGCAGCCCGGTACGCCCACAGTAGCACCGCTCACGGCACCGGCGCTCATGTGTCGGATCTGGGCACGTGGCGTCGATGCCAAGCGGGGCAGCAAAGGCTCACGGCCCGAATGCATTACTCTCTCGCTCGCCGTGGAGGCGGAGACGGAGGCGCCGGTATTAGTAAGCGGCATCGCGTCCCAATCATCCCCATCCGCGGGTTCGCAGAGCGATTTGGAGTGGCCGTGCTGATAGGTGGATTCCTCGGGTATTGTATCACTGTGATTGTGTTGTTGTTGTTGATGTTGTTGTTGTGTGCGGTTGGGCAATGGATGTGAAGAGAGAGTCGAGAGAAAGTAAATGTCAATTTCGGTTTCAATTTTGATTGAGATGGAGCGATATTTGAGCATGGGTTACAATGAGACTAAAACAACTAATTCATTAACTAGGGGCCTCTACCGATAGATAACTAGGAAACGAATTAAATATTGTATTAATTACTCAATACTTTTAGCAAATAAGTAGTTTACATATAATTTGTTTATATTATTTTAATACTGAAATCACTACAAAGCAAGGAAATTGAATAAGCAGAGAATTAAGTGAGCTCTAGTCGAGAGTATCCGACTAGAAAAAGTCCTGAACCCAATGAATATTATTGTTTTAATTATAATCTAATGTAGACTTGTGCTTATAGCATTATTGCAATAATCGATATTATTACCATCATTATCAGACGGTAGAGCATTCTGCAAGTTCACACACAGTATCTTCGATGATCGAAAACATAATTACTGATTCGGAATTTGTTTGCATCTGGGTTGGCAGCACTACAGAACCTGGGATAACATATTTCTCCTTTCTATTTGTTAAGCACATTAATGTTCAATGGGTTCTGGGTACTCAAAGAAATAATTATATTAGAGAATAGTTTATAGTAAAAAATGAGAAGCGTAGCAAGAAAAAGTAAACTTTAAAGCAAATTTACAGAGTGAGAAGACAAGTTAAAGCTAAAGTATAATATGTTTTTTTATTTTTTTATTATTATTATCATTAATAGATAAATGGAAGCGCATATAATTTTTCAATTTTTCAAACAACTGCCAGCAGTTTGTTGGGCTATTTTCAAAGTAAAAATGATTTATGGTTGAGAATGTTGAATATTAGTATTTAATTGCGGAGATATATCAATGTAACTGATTGAACTGAACTTATGTTCAGGATTCTCTTTCTAATAGACTATATAATTGCATTTATTTATATGCGATAGACTGATGAGAAACTAGAGAGTAATACAAAAACCTCTAAGATCAGCAGAGAAAATAAATTTTTTTTCCTATAAGTCAACCTCATAAAATCTATATTTTTATGTTTTCTTTAGCTTTATAAACGTGATGCTATTGGGCTATTAACTTCTGTATTGTTTATTATTTTTTCATTCAAATCAATCCTACTATATATTGTTCTGTACTAAACTAAATATTTCTTCTATTTTCCAGCCCTTTCATAATGATACAAAATCCATCTATATTTATAAATGATTCTATTTATATATCAATTGATACAAACAAACCCAATCAATCAGTTACAGGAATACCTCTAATAACACATATAACAGTAATACTTGTTGGGGTTAGCACAGTTGTTATCTATTTGGTAATCATATAAAGCAAGCCAAAATACTTACACATATTTATGAATCATATATTTGATATATATAATTAAGAGCCAATAGCCAATAAATACTAGACTTTTACAACAGCTCGACTACTATTTTGGATATTGTGTATATAATTTGTAATTGGAAAATATTGATATATGTGTTGTGTTGTGGTGTTTACTAAGTGTGATAGAAGCATTTGGCTGTGGCATAGACAGCTGCTATACGGACTCAATTGAAACGGCGCTAAAAATACAATTCAAAATTATAAACAAAAAAGTTGAAAGCAATGAAGCAAATTTTCGATAACAGCAGCAAATTGTGCAATTTGTTTTAGTAAAATGTTAACTACATGTTAAATTACAGAGTAAGTGTTAATAATGAATCAGTTAGTCGAAAACAGAAAACTTGTTAATAAATTATATATATATACAAAAATTATAGGAAATTAGGTTAGTTGGGATAGTTACACCAATCTATTTAGTTCCTGCCTAGGCTTACGGACAACTCACACAATTATGGAGCCCAGTTCTGCATAAAATACTTGATGAGTGCGATATGAAGTAATGCCAATTGCCAGAGAGATTGAAAGTTGAAAATCAAATCATATCTAGATATATCAGTTATATATATATGTGTATAGACTACGCGAATTTTGATTTGCACTGACTTAATGAGATATGCGTGGACTGATCTCTATACAAGTTATATATATATATATATAGGACACATATATATATATAAATATAGTTTCGATCATAGGTTTTATTGTGTTAGTTTCTTTTTGTCTGGTTTACGATATAAGATTAGTTGAAATTCGACATTGGCCGGCTTTAGTTGCATTGCATTTTGATTGCCCTTTGGTGGTATTATTTTTGGGCACTCGGATTACTTTGAATAGTACGTAGCGCCGCTGCTCTCCGATGTGGGTGAGCTATAGTTGGTTGTTGAGGAGTTGCTCGGGGAATTGTAATTTCCGGCTGTTTGATTTGCTGAATTGCTACTGCTGACTGTGGCGGTTGTTGTAGTAGTACTTGTTGTTGTTGTTGGAGCTGTTGTTATTAATATTGGTTTGACATTGATAGCTGTTGTTGTTGTTGTTGTGGCTGTTGTTCTTGTAGTAGTTGTTGTTGGTGTGTTTTCTAGTAAGTTATTAGCGCCAGGGCTACAGAGCAAAATTCTACTGGGTCTGCGTCCAGTTGCTATAAGTCTGCGAAATCGTTGCCACGTCGCGCATTTCGCATTTATATATATTTTTCGAAATCAAATTGAGAGCACACAAATATTAAAGTGTTACAAAAGAAATCGTGGATAATTTAATTCGCATAAGAGAGAATATGTGTTTATATTCGAAATATAAAAACGATCAGCGAAATCAAAAGCAAATTGAGCGAACGAACTAATTTTTATGATTATTTTAATTTTCATTATTAACATTTGTAAAGAGCTTGGCTTTTTACTCAAATAAAGTAGCTCATAAATATTCTCTTTTATATATTTACATATATCATTTTACGCCATTTTATGCATGCTTAGCTTACGAAATTTTATAGCATTTGTTAGTAAAAGAAATGAATACTAGTAAAATGCAAAAATATATAAATAAGATACGATATGAGGCAGCATCCCAAAATTTGGTTTCCAATTATTTCTAACAAAATAAAGTCTTAAGTTGAGTCTGCTGTCGTTATATCTCTTTGAGCTCATACGAATTGGGGTGGAAGCTATTGATTGGCATTGAACAAAAAATTATATTCTAAATATTTTGATCCTTGTTTAATGAAGTTTATGGGATATACAATATAAACAGTCCTAGGGAAAACTAAAGAAACAAGAGACAAGCACAGAAACGACCAATAACACCCACATGCATTGCACATTCAAGCTACATAAAGACAAAACAAAACACACACACATACATATATGTGCACAATGTGTGTATGTGTGTGTGCGCGTGTGGACAACAAAGTGTGGTAGTGTGCCGCAGGTGTAACAAAGACTTACCCGCTAAGCTCCAGCATGGAGCCACGTCGCACGTTCCGGCGATGGCTGGCCGTAACCGGAAAGGGTCCGGTATGACCGTCCGGCCCCACCAGGTGAGCGCCCAACGTGCTCGACGAAATGGACTGTGAGCGGTTGTCCAGCCGTGGATTGTGCATGGACGTCGAAGCAGTTGAATTCATGGCGTTGCCTGCATTGGGCACAGCCATTAGATCCTGGCTGGCTGTGGCTGCATCCACCGCACCACTGCTGTTGCTGCCAAGGCCCAGGCTGCCGGCCTTCGAGCTGGAACTTTCGCGACGGAACAGACCTATGACGGACTTGGGCTGTTTAGGCTTGTTTATACCACCTACGTGGGCGTGAGTCGGGAGCGAGCACAGTTGGTTGCGGGCAACATCAAAATGTACACGGTATCGAGAGATAGAGAGAGACAGAGAGTGTGTGTGTGTGTGTGTTTATCGGTGTGTGGGCGTGGGCAACAGTTACCAAAGGATAAACAATGCGGCAAAGAGAAGAAAACACAAAGTTTTGGAAATTAAAGAAAATAAAATCATATAGAAAAACAACTGCATGTGATTTACGATCAATTAGAATTTTTTGGTTTGTTTCGTTTAGTATCGAGCTCAAAGCTGTGGTGCACTTAAGAAACACAAGAGAAAACTATATAGTTTACCAATTATACATATTTAGTTATATACACATGTAACTTCAGTTATTTACATATGTTTATTTTCTTTCATTGAGTTTTTTTAAGCCAATTTACATTTTAAATTTGAATAGCAGAAACAGAAATAGTTGAAGTCGTAACGGAAACGGAACCGGAATTTGTACATTCAGTGTTGGAAAACTGGCCGTTCCCGTCCGTACTTGGAGCTGGACTGGCTGCTATCTCGTCAGCAGCTTGATTAACTTTGTATCTTACCTAGAAAGGTGGCGCTGGGCGAATTGTATGCCAAATATTCCTTGTTTGAGGCCCAGGCGGGAAATTCATTTTGCTGCACTGCGTCCGTGCTTTCATCGCCCTGGCGCTTCCACGGCAGCTGCGACTCTGTGGCTGTGGGCGTGGCTACGCGACGTTCGCCATCTGAGTCGCGTGATAAATTGCGATCCTCTTCAGGTATTGGATGCTCCGCCACTATGGGATAGAAATGTTGATTGTTTTTCAGTAGATTTTCAAACTGGTTTATCTATTCTGTGGCATGCATTGCGCGTTCAACTTGGCTAGTTGGCTTAAGCTCAGTTATCGATATCTACTAAATATCGGGAGAGGAGGATATGAACAAAGTGCACTCAACTAAAATGCAAACAAAATCCGTTAGAATCGGCATACATAAATCAAAGTGAATCGAATCGAGATGGCAAAGCTGTGAAACGTGAACCGATTCGTCAGCTTAAGGGATATCGGAACTGGCGTTAGCTGGTCTGTCCATTTTCATTTCATTTTTCATTTTTATATTTACAAATTCGATAGCAGCTTGAATAGTTCGTATGAATTTTTCTTATAAACTTTTATTGCTTTAAATATAACTCATAATTTACAAATGAGTTTTAAAGAGCTTAATTATAAATTTAACGATATCTTCGATTCGACTCGACTTGATTCGACGCGTCTTTTTGTATAAAAAGAAGATAATAACCAATAACATGAACATATCTGTTGTGTCGACGCGTCTTTGAACTTAAGAGGTTGTATATGGTTCTGGGAAGGCAACAACAAATAACTTTGTCATGCACAAAAATGCCATGCTGCTTTTGCTGTTTGGTTCGCTTCAAAATGCTCGAAATGTTTTAAATGCTTTCAATTTTTGTTTTGTGATTTTAATTTCAATTGATTTGCGTAACATTATGAGTTTCTACAAATAAATACTTAATTTCGGCATTGCTTTTTTCAGATGAACGCCTATGGTAATAATCATTAGTTATGGATTTATGGAACTACAAGAACTACGAGCTTTATTGCAGAGGTGTTTTGGTTCGTTGTTTTCTTTTTTCTCTATCAATCAAGCAATTCAGCGAGAGTTAGGTACATGGATGTATATATATACATATATATATAACAATCAGTCGTTTCACAGACATCGATGACAACTATTGAGGAGAGTTAAGGAACAGAGAAGAATAAGTAAAGAATACATTGGTCCAGTAGTATCATGTTCCCATTCAAATAGACTGCATTTTTGAGCTTATATATTTGTATGTTGCCAATTCAGGAATATATAAGGATTTTGATAAATTATAATAATTATTTAATAGGAACTAAATAAAATGGGCCTCAGTAAAAATCTGTTAACACAACTAAAAAAAAAAATTGAAGATAGAACAAGTAAGAAGGCTCTAGTCGAGACTGCTCGACTAGGAGATACCCTGAACCCTCTAAGCTGATATTCTAATCATTCTGCATTTTTATGCACACATACACACACATGCATCCACACGCACGCATAAGCCTGCGCTCTGCTAACTGCGCAGTAAGCAGCGACTGCGCTTGGGCTGCGCTGCAGTGCACTATGGGGAATTTTGCCGTTTTTCGGGTATTTAGTCATTTTTGCGAAGTATGAAAATTTATAATTTTTTTATGTTAACATCTTAATAAAACTCCAAACTTTAAGGTACTGTACCCAAAATGTTGAATAACAGTCCACTGTTAAGCCTAACAGCTGTTAAAGTCAGCTGTTATCTTCGAAAAGCATTTGCCTTCAGCTTACAATTTGTGTTAGCCGATTTTCAAATCATCGTTATTCAATGACCAGACATTATTTTTGAGAAATTTAAAAAGGATATGAATTTTTAGGGCTTCTACTATGCGTTGGCTTAAAAACCAATTGATGTTTGAACTTATTTTAATCATTTATTGTATAATTAGCAAATGTTGTCAAATTTCATTTCTTGTAAATAAAATTAAACTTTGCAAAGACATATAAAACAGCCACCAGGGCGCACCAGTGTAATTCCAATTGCATGTTATAGAGTAATCAATTGGGATCTTAGTGCCTTTGTCTCAATGTGCACTTTTGCGCACAACCGGCGCAAATCAATTTTTAGCAGGTGACTATGAGCTGACCTGTGTGATATTTGGCTCAATGAAAAAGGCAACTCTAACCAAGAAATAGTAATTGTGATTTTGAAACTAAATAAGACTAATATTGATTCAACTTATAAATGATATTAAAAAAGCAAAAGCCGCTTTTTTTGCCAAAATATAAATTACAAATGGAAGAAATGCAGCAGGAACAAAAACTAGCTGACAACTATGAATGACTGCCTATGACAGCAAATGTTTATAAAAATAATTGTTCATTTGAGGCAGATTATGGAAAGTACTGTTCATCCTGTAGGCTTTTTTTGGTAAGGAAGCGTCTGATTTGCCCAACCAGGTCTATAAATCAGACAAATTTCATCACGAATGAGAGAAGGATAGCAGAATCCATCATTTCGCTGATGGTTTTTAACAGTGGATACATCTGATCAGATTATTTCTTCGGCAAATCTTTAGAAACGAGTTTAAAAGCATAAAGGTCGCTGTCTAATGAAGTTGTACGTCTTGTATTATGTAAAGTTGAAGGCACAATTAAATCAGTTGAAGAACACGAAGTTTTTTTAGCGGATCAATATTTCGGTCTGATCTGGAACTCGAAACTGAAGAAAACTCATTTCGATTTTATGAAAGCTCGATAGTTTTCAATTAAAATTATTATTTTAAAGTATTAACAAGCTAAATTCTTAAAAAAAAAAAAAAATTTTTAATACAAAATTTTAATAAATTTTTTTTGGGTGGGCGGTGACACGCCCATTTTTCTAAAATATATTTCTGATGGTATACATATTAATAATACAAAAACCGGATCAAAAAATCTGGCTTAGTTTTTAAGTTATTAATTAATACCCGATAATTTGGATTTTTCCCCATAGTGCAGTGTGGGCAATATTATGAGAATTTATTTGTTGAAAAATTTCTTTTGTAGACATAAGATCTTAATGAAACTTTCAGAGTGTAATCATATGATGAATATGTGTGTACATTCCAAAGCACAAGTCTCTAGTACTTGAAATGCAAATTTGGGGCGAAGGGGGCGTGGTATCCAAAATCTGTAAATTACAAAATCTTTGTTTCCATTAACTTAATATACAACGCAAATTTGAAGACTCCAGGTCTAAAAATGTTCAAATTAGGCTGAAAAAACAATGCCGATTTTTCGATTATTCGCGATAAAAAAGTTATCGGATGAATTATCGAAAAAATAAAGCAAACTCGTACTGCGTATGGTACACACGAGTATGCATGCCAAATTTCAGCTCTCTAGCTCTTATAACTTCTGAGATCGACGCACTCATACGGACGGACGGACGGACGGACGGACGGACAGACGGACAGGGCTATATCAACTCAGCTCGTCGCGCTGATCAAGAATATATATACTTTATGGGGTCTGCCACGCCTCCTTCTGCCCGTTACATACTTTTTCACAAAACCATTATACCCTGATTTCCCATTTTCAATGGGTTCAGGGTATAAAAATGAAGAAGCAACTAAATTAAACTCGGTATAGCTTAAACAGCAGCTTCAAATGTTTTAGCACAATTTACGTTTGTACATTCAATTTCTAAGAGATTATGAGATAGATAAACGGTTTTATGGCTTTGCTTATTCAAAGAATTTATCTTTGCCCTTGTTCAGTTTTTATGAATGACGAATGACAAAGGAGTGAATGGGAATGAGCGTCTTTGTATCATAGAGAGAAGCGCAGAAAAAAGATAAGTTTCAGTGCCAGTTATTAAGTAAACTCTAACCTCTCTCAGATATTTTAGATATACCGATTGTAAGTACTTTGGTATATAAATATGTTATAATAACTTATTTATTACGCTTCTCTCAACTGTAAATGCTGACGAAATTTTATGTTTCAATCTCTAAATATGCAAATTGAGATAGGTAATATTACTTTATCTTTGATTATTTACAAGAATAGAAATACTGGCAATATTTTGTATTTATATTTTCTCTATTGAATTTAGATGAGGTATTCGTATGTGTCTAGCCTTAGCGGATGATCTACAAATGTATATGTATATCATAAGTGTATGGATAATGGAAGATATGGAATGTTGCTAAATATGAGATTGAATATACATATTTTGTATATCCAAAGGTTCTCTTTCAGATAATTATGGATATTTTTGGTGGTTGTTGTTGTTGGTTGATTCTTGGTGATATTGTTTACCAATGCTCTGGTATGAACGATCCCGTCGCCAGGGCAGGATCAGTTCGGCCGCTGTGGGTCCAACTGGTGGATCGGGCGAGTCTAGTTCTGGCTGAGGACCGTCCTCAAGTTTGGGCGCATAGTGCTGAACGATGCGCGCTTTAGATGCATCAAAACCGGGCAGGTTTTGTATATGCGCTATCAGAGAGTTATTATTGGCGCGATCCGAGTCAGCTAATATACGGATATACGGATATATCGAGCAACATATTGGTATGTCAAATCAAATGAAATTGGATAGGCATAAAATAGGGATAAAAAAAAAATATATATAGAGATATTGTCGTTATAGCTTTTAGTTTATTTATTTTAGGTACTAGCCAAAGATTACGCGTTTAAGGGCGAATTTAGGTGTTGAAAAAAAAAAAAAAAAAAAAAAAATATATATATATACATATATCAAAAAGGTTTGTCAAAAGCTTTGGCTCTAGAGTTGATCTGTTATAATTTAAGTCGGTTCATGTGTCACTAAAGTTTGGGATAGTATAAAAAATTAGATTTTAACAGCGAAACAACATCAGCTACTAGATATAATAAACAACTAGAGCAAATTGTACAAAATGTTCATAGCCTTCCGAAACTATTTTTACTGTACTTTAAGCAGTTGTGTTGGACTGTGTAATATCATATAGTTCAAGTCTGGCGTAAGGCCCATTTCGATATAGAATCAAATGAAATACTTGATGGCATTTTTGTGTAGTCAGTTGTTCAGATTGAAAACGAAAAAACTGAGAAACATTGAAATCATAACTCTTATAAGGCAATGCAATGGCCCGGCCACCAATAACCCTATATTGCATATCGCTTACAAGAATTAGTTGACGATTAATGACATATATATGAAACATATAGAAGCAAATGGAACTTACGTGATGATTTGGCTGTAAATGTTAGACCATCGTCCCAATCGTCGCTGGGTCCAATGACATTGATCTCATTCGGATTCTGTTGGCAATCCTCGGCTGTTTCATTAAGCACATCGTTAATATAGTCTTTAGATGATATAATATCACAAGATTATATATATCATGGATGGAGTTGTTAAATACAAAATGGGTTTGTTTTTAGCGAGTGCGTATGGTCAGTGTTGTTAAATGTGCAAAACAAAGGTTTTTTTTAAACATTTTTTTTTAGTTTCGACCAATTGTTTTTTGTTGGTAGACATCGGGAAGGATAGCGTGTGTCGTAGAAGGAAGACAAAAAAAGAAGATTTTTTGGGTATTTAAAATTAGTAACCAATTGTTCTTTAACGAATTTAAAATAATATATATATTAATAACAAAACGTGATGCATTATGTAAGAAAGGGTTCGTAAAATTGATAGATGAAAAAATGTACTATAAAGTTGAAATATTTTTGCATTATATTTTACGAGCCCTCCGCATGCTTATTAGAAATGCATAAAAAACTTAAATATAATGAGGTGCAGGATATGTATAGTTAGACTTGGATAAATTGTATTTATGTTGATCAAATTATAAAAATCGAAATAAACTCTACTTAAATGTTCAGATTTATCTGGGACACAGCTACAGTCCAGATAATCAACTGATAATTTTCAATTTTGATTATAACTCTCTACAGATGCTACTATAAATTGGAGGAATTAGTTTGTTTTCATTGTTTTTTAAATATTTAATTTCTGTATTCATTTAGCGGCATTTACCTATGTCTAATCTACGATATTTGTTAAGTGAATTGTGAGTATGTCTTTTTCTGTAAGATTTTTTGCGTGAATGGTTTGAACTCGGATGCGTATTCGTACCATTGGAGAGCCGCTTCGCTGTGCCGTTCTGCTGGAAATCAGGGAAGGAGACATGATTCTGTTTAACATTCTCCTTGGTCTCCTGCAGAAATAAGTATATATTAAATTCAAATTTACAACATTAAAACAAAGATCTCTCCTTACCTTATTGCTGGCGCCACGTTTGCTGCGCTTGTGATGTTTGCGATCGTTGAACATGCGACGGAAATTCATTTGCATTTTATAATTGACCTAAAATGATATATGCATAGAAATCATATTCGTTAAATATAGATGTGAGACAGTACTCTATAGGTGCTCTCAGAGATTTGTCAAAGTGTTTTCATGAACTCACCTGTGTGGACAAATCTCTGTCATCTACTGCGTGTCGGCTATAACTAAGACGACGGTGCTGTAAGGAATATGACGAAAGCACATTTAATGCAAGATCAGACATATACGAACATGTAGTGTTCTTAAGTGATATATGTATATATATATAGAATTCGTTAAAAGGATTAACTAGCGTCGGGGCAATGCTCAACATTTATTTCACACAAAGAAAAATTTATTATTTTAATTTGCTGAGAACTAACAAAAACGGCAATTGATTACGGTGTAAAAAGGTCGCATAACATTTGTACAGATTATTTATAGAGATTATATCATCTGAATAATACATTTATATATATTTATATAGTTATCAAGGACGGTGCATTTGGGTTAACTTCGGTTCAGCCGAAACATGAATACTCTTTCCAATAATAAACGCGTACGCAGCATACATATTTTCACATATTTTTTATATAATAAAACAAATAAATATAGAATATATTATATAATATTATATATTCTTATGTCACTCAGCTATGGCGGCAAGTTTGAATATTCCATTTTTTTTATAACTTTCACGCTTGCAATTGTTTTGGCTTTGAGAACCTAACATGGGTGTAAACTTTTTGTCAAAATTAGACCCTAATAATGTCCTATATTTCGCAGGCCTTTAATGCTTTTTTCTGTTTCTAAAAAGAACCATAAAAAGGCCATAACAATTATTATACATCGATTGAAGGGGACAAAAGAGATAAATATTGAACAGACCTCATACATATTCATTTGTTTCAAGCCATAATTTATATTTTGAAAAGAGTATACAGATATATAATATTAGAAGGATATAAATTGCAACACAACAAATATGATTATATGTGAATATTTATATATATATATTACTAAACAGTGAGTGTTATAAGTATCTTGCAAAAGTGGAAGGTTAATCATATTATTTTCGTAAGTGAAAAAGTGATAAAAAAAAATAAAATAAAATACAATAAAAATGTTTGTGCCTTTACACTGAATTGAGTAAGGGGTTCGACTCCGGTGTCCAATTTATTTTAAAAGACTTTCAATTAAATAACAAATTTTGTTAACGAAATTTGAAATACTATGGTAAAAATAATCTAATAAAAAATGTTAAGTATTTGTTCTATTAAAAAAAAATTTTAAATATATATATTTTGTTTAATTTTACACATCTTCTAATTTATCAAAAATCTTTTAAAATTGTTTATAATAAGAAAATATTTAAAGATTTCTATATCTATTTTACTTAGATTCTATCAGAATCACTTTTATATTCTTTTGAGTCTATCTATATCTAACCACCTTTACTTTTAGCACGTTTCATGTACAATGAATGTAAAACTTTTATAAAATAAAAATAACACTAAAAATAAAATATCAAATTTGATTTTAGAGAATTATCAAGTTGGATTTAAGTATACATATATGTACATATGTATATTTATATAAAATGTGACAATTATTTTTGTCATTAAGAGAAAAATTGTTTATAAATACGATTATTTAAGGACTGTTTTTTGCACTTGTTTTCATATAGACACCAATTAAAATACATAAAGATAATTACTAGAAACTGTTGATTAGTTAATTAGTATAATTAATATTATTAATTATATGCATTACAAAAACGTTTTGCGGTCATTAGTACAGACTCACAAAGAGTGTAACATATACAGAAAAAAATTTGTTTTAATTGAAATTGTTATAGAAATTTGTTAAGTAAACGAAACTAAAAATGAAACATAAAACTCTTAAATCAGTTTGAACCAATTTATTCGTACCATTTGTATGGAAGCCTTTCATTGCGAAAATATTTGAATATTTTTGTACAGTTTCGTAAATAATTTTCAAAGCACACAAAAATTTGAAGTAGTTTTTGGATATATATTTTTTGTTTTTTTTGTTTTTGATTTAGTTGAATACGTGACGTTGACGAGAAGTTGAAGTCGAAGTTGAGTTCGTAACAACGGGAAGAAATCAAACAAACGATTAATTACAAATATATCTAAATATATAGATATAATCAGCATATGTAAATAGAGAGTATGTGTGAGAGATAGATAAATATAGATATTTATATATATTAAGAGAGAGAAAGAGAGCGAGAGAGAGAGATAGAGAGAAGCGTGTCTCAAAACCAAATGCCCAAAAAGGAAACTAAGGTGAAAGCATAATATACAAATACGTCTACTAGGCGTCAAGTATTTTTGGTGAGATCGATTAGAATCGTGATATATATATCATATATTGGATTAGCATTTAAGAACTTGGGCTGTGTGTGTGTGTCTATATGTGTATGTGAAAATGCTATAAGGTAGATAGTAGTAGTCGATAAAACTGGTACTGCTATATCATAGAAAACCAAACAAAAATCGATTATTATGCTGAAATGCTGAATGCTGTTCTTTCATTATCGGTATACATACCCTTCGATAGGGCTTTAGTTCTTCGGCGAGCAAGTGATGTATCTTGGCATCAGTCAAATCCTTTTTCGATGGATTATAGTCCAGTTCAGCCATGTCGAGGTTGTGGGAGCACGAGTTATCCAGATTTGTTAAGCTTGGACTGTGCGAATCAAGAGATTAGAAGGCAATAAAATAAAGTTCTTATATGTATGTACATATAACACTACCAAGTATTAACTAAAAATACAGATAAACGAATTTTAGATATGCAAAAGTAATATATAGAGAATAATCGTGTAAGAGTGAGAGAGAGAGAGAGAGAGACAGAAGTATTACTGAGTGTACAAATTAGGAGCCAATCAAATTTTTTGTGCTGTTCATGCTAAGAAAGGACTACAAAAGTTTTGTTGTTTAATTTGTTGCATACATGCATTGTACTGCTATTGTTATCGTTATCGATTATTGTTTATCGATTATCCAAAATTCGTTTACCAGGTGGTGTATATGGTTGGCGGTGCCCACCTGCCACCAATATAATTATTGGTATAATTCCTAAACAGTGCACTCATCGACTCGGTGCCCGTCATCTGGCCAATAGTCGAGGGATTGCGACGCATCACCTCCATGGCATCGCGCATGGTCAGCTTGGAGTATGTCTCAATAATCTTTGGTTCAGCGCCCTGCAGAGTAAAACAGAAAGAGAGATAGAGCGAGAGAGAGTTTAGATAAATCCAGATATAATCTGGTTAGGATTATTTTATTCGATACCTACCTTCAGATCTCTGATCAGCAGTGGGCGTATGAAGCGATTGTCGAAACGCTTGAACTTATCACGCACATTGTAGTTGCCTGTCTTGCCCACAATATCCTCAATGCCAGCCATCAAGTGGTCCATGAACTAAAGAAATAAACAAAATAATTAGTGTAGATTAGCTAGGTTTCATCAGGAGTATAAATATATATCCTTCATAAAAATAACATTTATAACTACCAGCTAAATAATTAACATGCATGTCCCACTTACACGTTCGTGTATGCGTTCGTTCATGGAGGGTTTGCGTTTGTTGGCTCGCTTCACATTTAGTATCTTGACGAGCGGCTTTATGGTGATGCCTTGCAGAAACACCGTAAAGTAGATCACAGCTATGGTTGTGGTCACAAACATATTCTTATGCTTGACCACCTTCTCATCGACGAGCAGCACGAGAGCAAAGGCAACAGCGCCACGTAGACCGCCATACGACATGACGAACTGATCCACCCGCGACAATTTGTGCAGTCGAAAACGATTGGCAATGGCCGACAGTATAATCACACCTGCGCAGGTATAGAATGATTACAGCAATGGACATTTGGAAGGGTAAATGGTTCACCCACCGATAACACGAAAAACGGAGCAGAAGGTAATGGTTAGCACCACAAACCACGTATTCCACACGTGCATATTATTGACTGTCGCCACGCCTAGGAACATAAAGATAATTGTCTCCGCCGAGCTGGATAACATTTTCAGGGCATATTTAACGGTCGTGTGCGATTTCTGAGAGATATTCGATTCCACATAGTTCTTCATTGTAATGCCACAAAAGGTAATGCTGCACAATAGAGCGAGAGAGAGAGAGAAACAGAGAGAAACAGAGAGAGGGAGAAAAAGAGAAATGCAGAAATATTGAATTATATTAATATTTATATTAGTTTTATTTAGATCACACTTACGCCAGAATACCGCTCATATGAAAGATTTCCGCATTTAGATACGCCAGATAGGCCATAACAAATATAAATATGGGCTCTATGACACGCACATGATCCGTAAATCGTGTTACCAGACCGGTTAGGAAGCCCCAAATGATGCCTGAGTAGGGAAAATAAACAAAATACAAATAGAATATGAATTGAATAAGGATATAAAAACATATTTGAATATAAATCTAGATATAACAGACATACAGTATAACTTAAAATGGGATTAAAATCCTAGAAATATCCGCAGGGCTCTAGATGTCTCCTAAGCGCACTCCTATATGTTTATTATATATATACTATACATCAATATATAATATACATCAATCTGAATATGCATTTATAATGAAATACAGCTGTGTGAATATGTCTTCATTCTATGCATACATTTATAGTATATATTCGATACTTTCAACTTATGTATATATTACCTATGGCAGTTCCTCCCAGAGCCACAACGAAAAAGGAGCCAACGCCGCTGGCAATGTCCTGCGCCATTATGTGCGGCAATCCAATTTCGTTATAGACTTCCATCATGTGGTACATGACAACCTGCAAGAGCATATCAAACGAATGTATATAGTATAGCCAGCTAGTAACAATCGGTAGTTGCATATTGAGAGGAACTGCTTCGTGGCTTAAACGATGATTTGATGGGCTTGTAAAAGCTTCAGGCGAATCACCCAATAAAAGCAACTGTACTTACCGTAACGGCATCGTTTAGCAGGGACTCGCCGAAGACAACAATGTAGAGGATCTCGTTGACGTGTATTTCCTCGAAGACGGCAAGGACGGCAACCGGATCCACGGCGGAAATAAGCGACGCAAACAGAAAGACATCCAATAGCTTGGGCGTCTCATCGCCAAAGATGCCCATCACGCCACACGCATAAAGCGAGCCACCTGCAATGCAAGGACGGGCATGAATCTCTGCACTCAGCTATTGCTATTCTCTTCTTTCTTTTATACCCTGAACCCATTGAAAATGGGAAATCAGGGTATAATGCTTTTGTGAAAAAGTATGTAACGAGCAAAAGGAGGCGTGACTGACCCCACAAAGTATTTATATTCTTGATCAGCGTGAGGAGCTGAGTCGATATAGCCCTGTCCGTCTGTCCGTCCGTTCGTCCGTAAGAGTGCGTCGATCTCAGAAGTTATAAGAACTAGAGAGCTGGCATGCATTCTCGTGTGTACCATACGCAGTACAAGTTTATCATATTTTTAAGATAACTCGTCCGATAACTTTTTTATCGAGAATAATCGAAAAATCGACATGGTTTTTTTCAGCCTAATTTAAGCGCTTTTAGACCTAGAGACTTCAGATTTACTGTCTATATACAGTTGATCGATACAAAGATTATGTAATTTACAGATTTTTGATACCACGCCCCCTTCGCCGCCAATCTGTAAAAGTTGCATTTGTAAAATTTGCATTTGAAGTACTAGAGACTTGTGCTTTGGATTAAGAATGTATGTCTACAAAAGAAATTATTCAACAAGTAAATTCTTATAATATTGCCCACACTGCAGCGCAGCCCAAGCGCAATCGCTGCTAACTGCGCAGTCGGCAGAGCGCGTGATTACACGTGTATGTGGATGCGTATGTATGCATGTGTGTTTAAAGAAGTGCAGAATGCGTAGAATATCAGCTTAGAGGGTTCAGGGTATCTCCTAGTCGAGCAGTCTCGACTAGAGCCTTCTTACTTGTTTAATTTATTGCATTGCCAGTTGCAAACGTCAGCACGTGTGCGCACACTTAATTAAACTGAGTTCTTCTAATGCAATTGAAATGGGAATACGCTGTATTAATATTGGGTTATTTGATGAGATAATGCACTGGTTTAATTTAAAGCAATCAATAATTGGAGAGCAGTATTTTGTGAAAGGGCAGGAACAGCTAGTTGCAGTTATTAATAACAAGGAGCAGGAGTAGTAATAGTAGTAATCTGGTTTTAATAAGGCAGTAGGAGGAAAAGTAAAGGATGCGTTGCGGCTCTGCAGAAAAATTAATAGCAGCATATACTTAGAAGTATATATGTATATAGCAGTAGAAATACAGACAGTTGGTGTAGAATAATACTCGAAAAAGACCGTGCAAAACAACCTCTACAAATCAGCAATGAAAATCTTAAATTTGAACTTGAGTTTCAATGTTGGTCATATCTAACATTTGTAACAATATCTAGCAGCTTTGTATATCAGTAGAAACCCTGGTAGCACCAACAGTAAAATACTTGCAAAAGTGCGCGTAATAAAATCTCAACAAGACACCAACAAAAATCTTAAATTTCAACTTACTCCAGGAAACACTACATTTAATATGAGTTTCAGTGTGGGTTTTATCTAACATTTGTCAACATTTACGTGTAACAAAGTCTCTCAGATCTGTAAATATTTGCTTATATTTTATCAAAATCACTTTGTGGGGATGTGAGCCAACCGAGCGTGCCTTCATCATTAAATCTCGTTTCCTCAAAAATTACCCTAGATACAGGCATGTATCTGTATCTGTGTACCTGTATCTGTGTATGTGTCTATCTATGTGTATATACATGCACACATTCACAACAATCACGTGCGGTGCCACATTTGGCATAAATCACGTCTAAACGGTCATCTACAACTGTTCCCACCCCCCCACAACCCCGTGCAGTCACTCTCCGTTCCATGCTCATATTGCCCTGCCCTTGGACAACAATGTTTGTTGCTCGCGTGCCATAAATTTCGATGTGTGTGTAACAAGCGTGTCGCCACTGTAATGTGTTCTAAGTAATGCTCCATATATGTATGTATCCAGTAAATTTGCTGGCTTTGTCGGCGTGTAAAAATTGCAATTGAAATATTGAAAGTTAACGCTACGCTGGCTGCACTGACATCATATTATTAATTTTATATTCTGGTTTTAGAAGCTATATAAATTAATATTGATATTTAATGAGCAAATAAAAATATGAATATCTCTCTATCATCAATAGTTAATATTTACTTGGCAACGCTCATTCACTTTGAATTTCCAAATGTCTTTTACCAAGCGAAAAGCTGAATTGATAATTTGGGAATGATTGGAAAAGTTTTCTGATTTTTAATAGTTCAAAGTTAACCTATGAGAAACTATTTAAATATGCACATATAAAGTCTCTGCTTTGCTGAGAAATGTTATAATAGTTTTATTCTGATCAATATTTTATCTATCCAACATTGTAACTATCCCAAAGTACCCCAAGATTCCTCTACTCAAACTATCTAAGTTTTTCGTTAGGCTCCAGGAGAGGGCAAATGAATTGAGCTTTCGCGCGTAATGGATGAGTGTGATCCACCATCAAGTGGCTGAACAACCACTTCAATTTCAACACACTTAACGGTCGCGTTCCACTCAATTGGCGGCACAGATGCGATAACGATGACGATGACGATGACGCAACTTCAATGGAAATCAATTCATTGGATACGCTTACCAATTGTGGCCACATTGAAGATGGTGCCGACGACGGCCATTAGCAGGATGGTGCCCAGGTTGTCGAAGAACATGCGATTCGGCATAAAGTAGCCCGCATCCAGAATTATCGGCGGCAGCATGTAGAAGAAGAACGTGTTCGGCGTGAGTGGGGAAACGGCAACATCCGTGCAAAAGTAGAGCACAACGCCTATTACCACGCCCACGACAATCAGCAGGCAGGATTCCGGAAATATCAGATGCAACTTGGGTGTCATGTGAAAACCTGAAATGGAAAGAGAGAAAACAAATATAAGTTTAAAATTCCAAAAAAAAAAAAAGAAAACTTGACATGGGCTTTACAATACTCATGAATTTGCATATGTACATATCAGAGTAGTTGGGGCGTTGACGAGGGCGTGGCTTACAAATACATTTGCTGAAGTTACACTGACTATAAAAAACGAGACAATAGCCATTTCCATTTCAACAAAGGCCCATTTAAATGGAAATTTCGCCATCAGACCCCCTTCCATATACCTCGCAAATATACACTTTGTTTATTGTAGATTTCTGTATTTGGGTCAATGGCTATACTGATGACTATACTACTATATAGTACACTCTGCTACATAAAACAAGACAAGAGTTGTAGTTTAGTAAAAAATTATTACAGACATAATTTAAAATCAAATATATTCCATTATATTTTATATATCTCAAATTATTTTCATTCTAATTAATGATTAGATTTGAATATTATTTATTATTATCAAGACGAATGCAGAATATACCCTCTATGAAAGTTTCTATTACTAGTTTTCTTTATTATAGTAAATATATATAGAGTAAATAGACCACTTTTCTGGCTGTCTATGTAGTAAAGTTTCTAATCCATAAATATCGTTCTCTCTATTAAAAATCTATGTAGAACCCGTGGATTGCAATTTCCCCAAGCATTTAATTAACTTTTACATAATTTTGGCGTCATTTTGAAAGTGTTTCTTATAAGCATTTAAGTGGCTCTGGTCACTTGTGGCACTTTCCAATGCGGAGCAGCGGGGAGTTGTCCATAAAAAGAGGCTAACAATGGGTGGGTGGGTGAGGGGTTCGGCTTTGTTGCTGCGTGTGCCTTTCGGGCGCATATTTGATGGCCTTCAGCAAATGGACTTTTGTGCAAAACCGAATAAAATATTAAAAAAAAAAAAAAAAAACAACAAAAAAAACAGTCAAGGTTTGAATCGGCTGCAAGAGCAAGCCAAGCAGATAACAAAGTCAAGAGCGCGATGGGGTCAACGGGCGGGAGGTGCGGTAGGTCGGCATCGAGATTGCAGCCAAAATGGTTTATGCAATCAGTAAATTGTTGCTCCTGGGGCAGATGCTGCGGCTACGGGTTGAGGGTTGGCGCAGGGATTGCATTACATTTTTTTTTTTGGGTTGCTTTTTAGGGGGCAGTGTCAAGGTTTTCGTTATGCTTGTTGCGCACTTGGCTGGCGCTTATGCAATGTCCTTCAGCTGGGACAGGGCTGCATACCCACACATCAATACAGGCACTCACACACACCCACACACACACAGTCTCACACACACCCACGCTTACAATTTGACGTAAATCTGCATGTCAGTGACAGCGGTAGAGCCGACGTTATATAAAACATATTGATTTTGCTGGCCTGGCAACCACTGCCTGCCTACAACCACGCCCCCACACACACAGCAACTAGAGTTACATCTTATATACATATGTATATATGGGTATATTGTAGGTACTAAGCATATATACTTACCGATTTTGGCAATGCTCGCTGACAGTATCCAAATGCCAATTATGAACGGCGTCTTGACCCGTGCAAAATCCACTTGGGAGAGCGGATAGCGTTCCGTGTGATGATGTCCCTCCTCTTCCTCATCGTCGAGCGACACATCGAACAGGTCCTTCTCGCCGTGAGCGTCTGCTTTCAGGTGTGCGGCATTGGGAAGAGGCAGAGGTGGCGGGAGCGCCGTTGACGCAGCCAACGACGACGACGTCGTTGTCGTCTGTGCCAGCTAAACGTGTTGGGGCGAAAGGATATAAGCATAAATGTAATCATTGGCCAGGGCGCCACTGTAATTGAGTCGCTTTTATCAGGTCGAATTCGATACACATGTCGGTAATTGTCCATAAATAAAGTCAAATAATGTCGAAAGGACTTTATCGAACAGCTAGACAGTTAATTGAAGGGTGGTTCATCCAACGGAAAAATTCATGAATGGAATTCTTATAAATCATTTATCATATGTCGCTTGATATTTCAGTTCACGATATATTGTAATAGGTCAGTGCCGTTATTTTCTTTTATTTTTCAGACTCAAATTTATATAAACCACTAAAGTTTCTTATATTCCATTTAATTTTTATAATTTCTGTATCACATTCTAATCCCTCTTATTTCACAACATCAAATACATTTATCTTTGTGTCACTCAACTAACTAACTTAGTGGAACAATCAGCAAAAGTAATCCCTGTCATATTACAAACTACATTTATCTCTTAAGTCTGCGACAGTCATATCTATCATAGACTATATCTTCAGTCGGTTGTCCGTCCATTCAGTCTGTCAGCAATTGACGTCAGCCGACACATTTGTTATTAACTCATGACATAAGGCATTTCCAGCGTTTTGCAATGCTTCAACTTGGCCAATTATCATAATTAAAGCAATTTTTTTTTTTTTTTTTTTTGCGCAGTTGTTGAATAGGGCAAGCCTGAGGACTTTATGCCAAAGAAATCAGCCAATGTAACTAATTAAATTTTTATTATTTAAAAAATTCAGGACAATTTCCGACGGAAATGAGAAACCTTTAACTGGCCTACTCGAAGGGAATCGAAGTTATTTAAGTAGGCCAGTTAAAGGTTTCTCATACTCCATTACATTTAATTGACAGCACTCAGAATCCTATTGAAATCAATTTAAAAGCAGTTGGAATCAAATGGCAGCTCATAAATTATAAATGACTTGATTTCATGCGGTAGGAATGAGGGAAACACCAAAGTTAAAATGAAGCAAGGTAAGTTAAACAGCAGCAATTGAATTGAAGGATATGGATGGGGATAATTGTGATTTGTAGTTAAGCTAAGAATTTTATATACACTAAAATTTATATAAAATATAAAATGATGTCTTCGACAATTATGAATTCCTAATTAAATAAAGAGCGTTTGGCGAGTCTTCGAGATTCTGATAAATGGAGAATAAATATTCTAATCACTATCAAAGTGGAAAAGTACTTGAAAAGCTTATGAGGAATCCTGCAAAGGGTCCTTAATCAGTTAAATGAAAAAATTAACAGATTAAATGGATAGTAATGTTGGCAAGCTGCTAAGCCAACAAAGGCGATAAAGGATACTCTGTTTGATCCCTAATCCTGAGAAATAAATGTGTATTGCTTTGTTTTACAATAAATATTTATTTTATTTGTGCTGTTGAAAAAAGTTTTATTTTTAACCAGAATTTAGGATCATTCAGAGTACTTTTTATTTCCTTTAATTGGAGACAATAATCTCAAGAATAATGACAGATAGTTGAACATAAAAAATTTAAAAAAAGAAAAATATACTATTTTAATTAAAAATTTATTTAAATCGGCAGTGAATCGACCAAACCTCTCTGATAATAATAACAATCCGATATTCTAGGATAACCCCAAATGTATAAAAAAAAGTATTGAAACTTACATTTAACTGTGGGAGGGAATCCGCCGGCTTCATAGTGGAGCTGGAGCTGGAACTGGAACTGGAGCTGCTGGCTGCACTCATATTGGGACGCGCCTCGATGCTGCCCAAGAGCAAACAAATGCCGCATAACAGAAGCAACAGTTGCCGCTGCCAGCTGCTGCTGTCACTGTATTTACACATTTTTGTGGCTGCTGATGGCTGCTCACTCGGTGGTGCGATTGCTGGTGGTGCAGCCAAGTGGTGCACGCTTTGATTTCGAGCCATTCGATTCACTGCCTGGCAAGCTGTTCTCTCGCGCAATTGACTTTTTATAGTACCAAGGCGATAACTGGAATTGGAATCGGCGCTGCGCGTGTGAGTGGGAGTAGGAGTGGGAGGAGCTGCTGTGCTTGTGCAGCTGCTCCAGCAGGCGCGGCGGGCGAGGTTCATTTGTTGCTGCAACGCTGGCGTCGCACTGTCGTAATCCTTTTCCGTCCGGCCACTCATGCTCCGGCCTTTTGTTGTTGATTTATGTTGTTTACGACTTGAACTCGGTATACGGCAGAGTTATTGATTTCTGCGGGCATAATATACACTATGTGTGTATGTGTGTTTACTTGGCGTGTGTGTGGGTGTGTTGTGCTTTCCTATACCGTTTCTTGCCGCCTAGTTGAACTCAATTTGGCGAGTGTCTGTAAGTAGAAGATTAAACAAAATGTCAAACGAGTTTGCTTAAGCGACTCGTGGGTCCTTCTACAAATACATATATATAATATATATGTGTATGTACATATACATTATATATTAAGGACATTATTTTGCTAAACAACGGCAGCCAGAAGTTCCTGGAATCCTTGAATTCATTCACAAATGTAACTTCACTCTATGTACATCTACAAAAATTCCTAACAGCTAAATCACTTCATTTATATTTCAAGCACGTTTCCTACCTAACCTATCCTAATCGACTTGCTTATCTATGGCAATAGCCTATCGACCGACCTGCCGCAATAACCAACTTAAACTGGTTAAATCCCAGTAAATTCACTTAGCATGAAAACTTCCACATTTAAAGCGGATCTTTTCACAGAGAACACCAAAAGGCAAACCAATCAATAAAAAAATGCCAAACAATAAGAAAATGTGCTAAAATCACGCAGAGCCAAAAGTACAACCAATTCATTCTCTCGCTCTTTGTGTACTTAAGCATATATACATATATATATAGATATATGTAGGTATGTATAAGTATATCAGATTTCAATTGTAATCAAATTTACTGTTCGTTTTCAGCTGCAAGAAATGGAAGTGAAAGCCAAGACTGAAATGACTGAGATATCGTATATCCATATATAAAGAAATACAATCTTGGGGATGGCTTATGATTTATCAGATAGAGGCTTAAATATGGATATTCCGTGCTGAGCGAATATTGGGGAAAAGTTCTAAGGAGAGGAAATACTTTTATTAAAGTACTTAAATTTTCTCTAACTTTTAAAATGAAAACTAAAAACTTTCTTTAAAACTGACATGCACTGTTTTTATGCTATTTAAAGAAATATAATTCTCATATATATGTTAAAAATAATATTTTTCTTGAATTTTTGAAAACGTGAATCTTTTTACGTATTACGATCAATGGAAAATTGATGTAAATAAAATTGATATAAAAATTTTCGAACAAATTAGGCAATAAGTATTAAAATATAGTATTGTAAAGAACATATTACAGCCCCAATGAATGATATTTCTGTTAAGTTAGTCCAAAGTTGAGTAACATTTTTTACACACCTCTAAATTTTTGAATTTCCATTGTTAATTGACAATGTGACGTTGGGCGCTAATCGTATCGCAAGTATTCCACTTGAAGATGCTGAAAATCTTATTTGCAGATGTCGAGTAAATATTTGAACTTTTAACTGGATAGATCCAGTGCACTTAGCGCCATGACAGACCATGCTAATTGCCGTTATAATACAAGTAAAAAATTAAACAAATTAAAGTCTTTTCGTTTCTCATAGATGCTGATAGCGAGAGATTTAAATTGGACGCAAAATAGCTGCTGATAGCAGACAATTACCGCTATCAACACGCGCTTCCATTACAGTCGCTTATCCATCAAGTCGCCGCCACAGACAGATAAAGCGCGAAAGATCGTATAACTAGAATACTATGTGCCACAGTAATTGATGCATCGACTGGCTGCAGTCAAGTGCAATGACGAGATGCGCTCATTTGAAGGGCAACATCGAGTGACAAAGCCTCCCGCTGTGGACCCCTTCAGCCCAACATTTATGGAATTTTTATCAATTGAAAGAGGAATTTGTTTGCAAAAATATTACAGTTGTTTACTTTTCTGAGTGTTGCTCGTCAAATATGATTTATTATTGTCGCCACAGTCAAGTGATAAGCTATAGTTTATGGGTATACGGGGGCTAATTATATCTCATAATCTTTGGACCCACATTTAATTGGCTATAAATTCATCTTAAGTATATACAAATATAGACCAAATGAATCTTTTTGATAGCTCTATCTTTTTCCAAAATGTTTATACTCAAGAAAACAAGATGGTTGCAAGCGAATACTTGGTTGGCTTGGGCCTTAAACCTGACGCTCAGGGTATCTTCCAGTCGGAAATTCCTTACTAGAACATTCTTATTGGTGTGCTAATCAAAAAGCATTTCCATAATGTAAAGCTTTAATGTTAATTATATATATCGTATATCGATATGGGTCTGCCTCTATGTTAAGTGTCAATCGATTTCATTTGAAGTCTTTATGTTAATTGCCTATCGTTTAAGTCTGACTTCAGTTGGCGGTGGATTTCTTTGAGTAAAGTAGACTTTCTTCCGGATTGAAAACAAAAAGAAGTAAAGCAAAAAGTGTTGTAACAAATTATTTTATTTTGATTCATATATCATATCAAATATAAAATATAGATTTCTAAAATATTTTCATCTCAAATGAACATTCAAACCAGAATTTGAGTCTGATTCTAGTTGTCAAAGTCTCAATTGGAGTGCTACAACGAGGTCTTTTATATCTCAATTAAGTGAAATGAAAATTTCGCTAACTCGTGGACTGTCTTTGAAACGTAGTAATCAATCCCGAAATACGATATGGAATATGAAATCAATATACGTCAAAAACTTTCCGTTTACATTGAGCAAACCTGCCCCCTCTTCAGATTATAGTTCCTGTTTCCAATTTAAACAATAGTCGCGTGCGTCACAGTGCCATCGGCGTATTCTAAATTGATTTACCCCCCAAGTCAATTCAGAACCAACTGAAAACATTTTCAAGCTCAGTGACTTCTATGCAAACGTTAACCAACCACTTAATCGCCTTAGAGCGGTAATCAAAGGCGCTAAACGGCTTATGGTTAACTTAATAATTCAACAAGAGAATTCAGTATAACATTAATTCATTTCAGATGGAACTAATTGCATTCAATTAAATAGTTTAAGAGCATAAGAGACCAGAGTAAACAATATTGTTAACTAGAATTTCAGCAATTCAAAAAGGACCTTAAATTTATTAAGTGGTCATGAGCGCATAGCAAGGATGTTTGCAAACGGAGGGAATTATGTAACACAGTGGGTAAAGGCCACACAACACACAAAAACTGTGACCTTGACAGCCAAGCGTAAGTGTATCCATGAAATGCCTACAAATTTCAACTAGAAAATTATTGTCAAGCGCTATAAAAATATTGCTTTAAAAAGTTCCAATTTATTTGCTTTAAGCTTAATCGGCTTTAATTATTAAGCACAATAGAAATACATAAATAAGAACGTTTTAGCCGGGCGCAATCGACTGCATAATACTCCAGATCCATTTTCCGATTTGCTACGCTATATATAATTAGCTAAATTTTGTAGTTTCTAGCTGTAAAATCGTACACTATACAATTTTATCCGATTTGCCATGCCTCCTTCACTATATCTCTTTGAACTTTCAGAGAAACGGGCAGCAAGACGGGCATTGCACAAACCCAATATACTCAAAGACTTTTCTGAATGAGTTTCCGAAATAATTTTCATAAAGTTAGCTTTTGGTATATAAATATTGACTGCTGTCGATAATAATTTATGGAATTATGATCTGTGATGTGGCACCTGGGGGCAGTACTTGAGCGCTAAATGGAATTGACGTATCCGTTCAACTGTTGAATATTAACTTTGACTTTTCGTTTTTGCATTCACATTTGTTTTGCTTTTTTTCAGTTTTCATATAAATTGTAAATATTTTTGAACAGAATTTAGGGGTCTGTGGCCGTTGGCCATGCGTCCAGACTGCGTCAAATTCAAGTTCAGGTTTGAAATGGCAAAAAAGAAAACATTTAAAGGTCAGGCGAGAAAGTGGGTTATATATAGTTGCTAGATACTCTGTACTGAGAGAGCGATAAGAGAGTATAATAGAAATTTGTTACTATATGATCAAGTTTTATTTCGATAAATTGAGTAATTGTGTATTGAATCTGAGACGATCTGCTCATCTTTAAGGCTAATTTTTAGACAGTGGAACAGACGTATCTGAAACTGAAAATTATACCTATACATCGAATCTATTCGTATTTCGTATAAATATTTTTTCTTGTGTCTCACTTACAAATTTTAAAATATACAATTTCTTTATCTAATCAATTTGGTAGTTATTGCCTTTCTTAGATACTTAACGGCTCTAGGGTATACAAAAAGCAATTTTAATATTCAAAACGCCATTTGTTTATGGCCAATAGACGGATTTATTTTTTGGACGCCTACCAAGAAAATGTTTGTCTTTGTGGCAGCAAAAAAAATAGATATTCAAAATGCATTTCAGAAATGCATTCGACTGCACATACTATATGCCGCAGCTGTGTGTTACTATATGAACAGATCGATAAATAAATATATGCATATGAATTAAAAGCCAAATTCAAATGAAGCACACTTTGACCTTAGGGCCAGGCCGAATCGATAGCCACACGCGCAGAGACAATTACGATGTGTTGCTCTGGCTGGGCATGCAATAGTTTTCCCCCACATTTATAATAATGGTAATAATAATAATAATAATGTGATTAATTTCCAAGCAAATCATTGTAAAGATGCAAAACTGCAACAAGCATCAGCAAATTCTCAATACATGCAGCCCCATACATATAACCGGTTGCGGGCGGATTATGAACCAGTTCAATGTAGCTCTCCAGCCAAGATGGCAAAGTTCCGCTACGGAACTTGGTCAAAATGAAGCACTGCAGCTGCCAACAAACACAAATTTTTAGTGAAATTCAATTTGAAAAACAATTTCTATATGCCTGGCGTGTTTATGTGCACTGAATTCAACCTAGAAATGCGCGGAAAGTCTAGACTGAGTGCTCGAAATTGCAATAGACATTAATATAATATTTATACATTTTTTAAACATTTTATTTTTATATTAAATAAAATATTTTAATTTAGTTCAAAACGTAACTCATGCAACATTTTCTCTCAGTGTATGTAAATATATTTTATCATTCGAAGGCATTCAGTCAAACTTCCGTTCTCCGCAACATTTGAACAACTGAACTTTCTGGCTTCAAGAAGGGATTCGTTGCCCTGGAGATGGAAAAGGTCATAAAATGACTATTCAAAGCAATTAAATTTTATTTATCCTTGACTAGGTATAAAGTGGCACGCAGCTAAGACAAAGGTTGGTTTATTTTTAATTCTAATAGATAAGAAAAAACAATTCGTTCTACGCTTGAATATATAGATCTATATATTGTAATTTGTATTTCATTTATTTATGTTTATTCTTTATTCTATTTATTTTTCTTATAATTTTTCATATACACACATTCAATTTCGTTTGTTTATCAAAAAATCTATAAACACAGTTATCGATGAGGAATTTTTTTTTAACATATCTTGATTAAATGTTTTATAGAGATGAGAGCAATTTTTTTAATACCCTTCCAGGGAAAGAAATTTGATTATGTATTCAAGTATTCAACTCTTAACCCTTTTGCCTCCTCCCAATTTTCTGAAATTTTTAAATTACTTTCCCTAATGATAATGTTCAACTGCCTTATTGATAAACTCGGTAAGTTAAAATTCCAAATTTTCTCTACCCAAAATTTTGACCTTGACGGCGGTAAAAAAAGGTGTCCAAAAGCATGTCATATAAATGACTCAAAAGACCGCAACAACAACAGCAGCAGGAGCTGCCAAAATGTGTCTCACAAATCACCGCAAAATCATTTAACGGCCCGACGACAGAGCTTCGGGTGTAGTGTAAGGACAATATCCCACAGAGTGACAAGTGAGCTAAGCCCAAGCTGGAAAAGAGAGAAAAGAAAGAAAAAAATTCTTCGACTTCCGAAATTGCCCTTTGGCTATTGAGTTGCCTCGTAATTGGTTTACTGTTAGCAAAACACGCATATTTATGGCCAAAAATTGGGCAAACAGCAAGTGGTCTTATGAGACAATATATTGATTAATACATTAAGCCAAATCGTTTACTTGGATTTGTCTATTTCCCATCTCAAAAATAAGTCAAATATATCTATATTATTCCAACTCAACCAATTTTGTGGACAATTTTCTAGTTTTTGCCAGACTATGATGAGCTCATATATTTATGATATCAAACGTGATTTAATTATGAGCTTTAAAACCAATTTGATAGCAAATTGATATTTATTTTATATCTTTTTTTGTTTTTTGTTCTTTGTTATTTTGTTTTTTTTTTTTTTTTTTTTTTTTTTTGTTTTTGGGAATACCTCAACTAAATTGAACTGCCTTAAGTATAAGTAATATAGGACTTACATATGAATAGATATTATGGGAATTACAATATTGATAGCGGGTACCAATTCATCATAAATCAAATGCTTTGTCCGACATACTTGCGTAATATAATTATGGAAAGTGTTATCGTGGCTTTTGTTATTATTTCTGATTTATTTATTTCTAGAATTTAATGTGGTCAGCATTTTACACTGAAAATGTCGCAAGAAATGTGGGGCTCAACGGGAATTACAATCGATAACAAAATACAGTGCTACACCAATTTCAAAGTAAATAATTTGTTTTTATCGAAAAACAAATTTGATTGAATGACTTTTTAATGATAAAATTAGATTTTGTGCAACGCTTTGTACTTTGACAATTGATTTTTATATCAAATGTACAAACATATGGTCCATAAAATTTGTAATTAGGTGTAAGCGAAAGCTTTAGTCCACTTTAATATTCTGCAGGTATTAATAAAAGACGTGGAAGTTGTGGTCTTCCGACTGTAAAATTCTGTAGAATATAATACCATCTCCAATAGACTTTGCTATATCACCTTCACATTTTATCTGGGAGTGAAATGGAAGAGTATTTAATTTTTATAAATTAGAAAAAAATATTATGCAAAACCCAATACACTCTTCTCTCTCTTCTCTCATGATTTATCCGAATATTTTAATTAAGAACATATTTCTATTGTATGCATTTTTTGACAAATTTGTAGGCTAAAACTGCGCCCTAGCAGGAGTCCACTGTACATGGCAACCCAAACGGAACTCAACAGCTGCAACCCCGACACGATCAGAGACCTTGCAGCAGCTAATATACCTGGAAATAGGCAGGGGAGTTTTTTTTTTCTATTTTGTATTTTGGTATAGGTCGTCTGTGAACTGTTGGCGGCGGCGCTCGGCGGCTCGGCAGCTCGGTTTCTGTTATCAGTGGGAGAACAACAATGTCGCAAAGAAATCAATGCAAATGACCGGAATAAAAATATTTTGGAATGCGAAACACAGTTTCCAGCAAAAAAAAAAAAAAAAATGAGGAACAGTGTAGCGAATTGAGAGAGAGACTGGGAGAACGACAGAGAGTAGAGAGAGAGAAACAGCAACAAGAAAGTGTGGAAAGCATAAAAAAAACAGACTATACAAATATTTAGGTGAACGAATTCATTACAGTTCGAAAAGAAAATTATGAAAAATATCTATAAATATACACAAAGAAATATGTGAGTAAATATATTTCACAAAATGTCACTAACAAATTAAAAAGTGGAAATAAAAATTGATTCTTGAACAACGCACATTTTTACTTTGTTTTTCGAACGAACCATTTTCCATTAGCAACAGACAGCTGCCCCTTGCGTAGGCTCTCGAGATTTTTGTTTGGATTTGTTGGGTTTATAAATAACATTCATTTAGTACACAGCATACAGCATATTTTTCGAAATTATAAGCCAAACTAAACTCGAACATAATCATAAAAGTCAATGTATTCATATGTAGTTGCCCGACGCGAAAATGGCGCAATTTGAGTTCTGGAAGCCTACACGTGCTGTGTGACTCAACCACAGATAACCATGAAACACAAACACTATTTCATTTTTAAGTACATGCATACATAATGTATGTATGTATATTGATATATTTATATTGTTGATAATATTGCTATAATATTGTTTTGTAATTTCTTTGCGTTCGAATTGAAAAAAACAAACTGCAGTCCGCGCTCTGAAGTCAAGAACTGAAACAGAGAAACAAACAGCAGCAGGAAAATTCAAAACACCACAGTGAACGTAAGAGAGAGTGTGAGAGAGGGAGACAGAGGGTGGGCAGAGCGAGAGAGCACGAGAAATCGAGAGAGAACGGAGAGAAAAACGCCGGCTATAGCACAGTGAGGCAACAACGAGTAATAAAATGGCAAAAATTGATCAAATTTATATGAAATAATAATAATAAAAAAGGTTTGTTTAAATATTTTAGTTAAAATAGGTTTTAAAAAAATTAAAATATATAAGAGTAAACTTCTTTATAAGAAACAAATTTAATTTATTATATACATTTATAAATATAAAGCAAATTAAAAATGAATAACTGCATGCAAAACACAAATAAAAAATCGAAATACTTGAAATGTTTACAATTCAGTGAACTCAGTGCAAATTCATTAACGATTTTTTTCCTCAATTATGTCATGTCCGTTTTGATATCTATATATATTGACAATGATTTTAATACCCTGGACTCATTAAAAATATGAGTTCAGGGTGAATTTGTTTTTGTGAGTTATAATAAAGTAGCTGACTGTCTACTTTAGTCAGTCGATAATAATCGATAATGTTATATCATAATCGATCATTTGATGTTTTGAAATTTATCTATAAAATTTAAAAGCTTAGAGTTTGGTTAATATGTTGTTTGCTATGATTAACTGAATAGACAAATTTTCCTTGTTTCTTCTATTTTATTTGGTATTTTTTATTTGCCAATAATTTTCATTGTTAATTGGAACTAGTAATTGAGTGCACAAGCGACCGCAAAAGAAATTACCATAGCCTGCAGTTTAAAATTGATTTTTGCCAAGGGTTTGCTGGGCGCGCAAGGAGAATAAACCCAGCGTAATTCGCTTGTAATTACAATGTACACAGTGCCTGTCAATGTATGCGATTCCATTTGGCTGCCATTGAAAATATGCACATACATATGTACGACTGTTTGTGTATATATATACATATTTCAATATCAGGTTCGTGGCATTTCCATATCGATTCACTGACACGAGCTACAAAAAAGGAACAACAGAAAAAAAAAGCAGAGGATTGCTTGGCCTGTTGTCAGGCAGGCTGAAGGATAACGATGGGTTTGCTGCTGGTGCCTTTAGACTGCACAACAGATATGCAAGATATGTGCAATATGCGCACAAATTATTCTGTGTGTCTGTGTGTGTGCACATTATCCTTGTACTTGAACAGCATGCACTAAGTGTACACATAATTGAAACCAAAGGACATACGCCTCTGCGTCCCCAGACTCAGTCCTGCATGAATTGCATGCCGTAACGAATTTCTCGCTCTGCATTAAGCTATCTATCGATGTGAAATTAATTGTTTATATGTTTATTCACCGATTTGAAGAGGCAATCAAATGAAATTAAAATCCACTTTAAGTTAACTGCTCTTAATTGTCTAATTGTAGTGCTTGACTCAGAATGAAATCATGAAATTTGATTGATAAGAAATTTGAAGAGCAGCACTTCGAACTAAATGCTAAGTAACGCTATCCAGCACTTAGGAACTCAATTAGTTCGATAGAAGATGGTTTCTGTAATCAAAATTGTTTGGTATCTCTCGAACTTTATTTCGTTTACAACACAGTAAGTACTAAGAAAACTAGAATATAAATTTGATTTCCAACCAAACTTCTGTTAAAAGAAAATTATTAAAGAAAATCATCATCATTATAAGAAAAATAATCATTTCAGCACTTCTGTAAAACTTTCTTAATTTCGGATTTCTTGTCAAGTATTTGGGAGCAACCCAAAGCAAGTTTAGTTTTCTTAAATACATTTTCAAATCACAAAAGACAGCCAATAAAGGCAACCGCAGGAGCAAAGCTTTTATCCCACTTTAAGGCATAAAACTTGTTGTCAAAGTTGACCCCTGTTGGGTCAACAAGAAAAATTAAAGTGAAGATGAAGACGTAGACGGCCACAATGAAGCTTGAAGTTCAATAGACTTATACTCCAAGTGTACGAAGTCAAAGCTATTACTTTTTCCTAGATATCGTTACAAATATGACGAAGAAAAAAACATATTAATCCTGCCTCACACTAAGTGGCAATGAGGCGACGCATTATGTAAGCGGCTGCCGTTGCTTCAAGGACATTCGCAGCAAGACCAAGGTCCGCAACAGACAAAAAATAACAGTCGCTCGAAGCAGAGGCCGAAACAAGTGAAATAAAAAATGAGTGACAAAAACTACGGACCTCAAATAAGATAATGATGAAGAAGAAGAAGAAGAGCCGAAGAAATTTATTACACTTTTGCAATGGTCATGTCCGAAGGACGAATAACACGCAGTACTCATCTAGTAAATCAGTGGCATAGAAAGGCAAATACTGGTTCGGGCGTGACAAAGAGACAATAGTTATTGCTTTGGCTATTGGCAAAACTATCAAAGAGGATGACTCGACTACCAGATACTCGGCGTTTGGTACTATTGCAAACATTTTGCTAAATAAAGTTTACATTTATTTTTATTTTTATTTATTTATTTATTTATTTATTTTTTTTTTTAAATATAGTTTTATTGCAGCTTTTGTCTTAAACTCTGTAGCGCATTTATACGGATACCTTAACTAATGAAGTGGCTAAATGCCTTTATTACTACGAACTACGTTTACTAATTTAGGTCACTTCTCGGATCCAGGGGGTGTAATCTTTTCAACCTTCTGTTGATGGTGTTGGTGGATAAATTGGCTGCAAGCTGGTTTGCTCTCTAAAAGGATTCGATGGAAATATGTACTGAGCTTTCCCTACCTATCCCATAGATGTATTTGCAGACATTTGAGCTACTCTTTGTTTGCTTAAAATACCTCTGGCATATACATATGTACAACGAACAAAGCAAACATATGCAAAGTAGATGTGTATATAAGCGTGTATATAAATGCATTCACAAAGCAAGTCGCATTGTCTTTAAAGGCAATACGATAATTAAAACTGATATCGATAGACACATGCCAAGCCTGACTGATCAAAGGAAACAAAACACGAAAGAAATATTTGAAAATATAAGACTTGCAGTTACAAAGAGTGTGCATGAGTGTGTGTGTGTGTCGCATGGCATTGTCCACATGACAAAACAAAGTCATTTACTCAACAGCAATACAACAACAATCCGAGCGACTGTAATGCTGCGACACACACAAATACACAACAAACACACGCACACATACAAAATGTAGCATACTTTTGAGCAGCGCTTACAGCTTCGTCTATATGTCGCCATTGTTGTTATTATGGCTGAGAGCTCGCTTGGCAGCGACAACGAATGTGACGTAAAAATAAAAGTAGGAAAACGACGGCGTTGCCGATGCTGATGCCGTTGTCGATGTGACAACTTGTTTTTGTTTAGCGTAGGTACCGTTAGCGTGGGCGCGCGCCTCACACGTGACATGCGCATTGAACGCTGCCGCCTGCAAAAACAGATGTTTGCGATTTATTGCGTGGGAGAGCCAACAAAAAAAATAAAGCCTTTTAGACCCAAAGCTAGAAAGAGACAGAACGAGAGCAAAGCGTACCAATTGTACCAAATTATTACAAACAAAAAATCACCATTTTCGATTTAACAAAACAAGAACATGTATGCAAACTACAAACAGTTACATACGATATTTAACTTAATTTCAGTTAAAGGATTTCCAATGAAATAATCTTCGTGAGAAGCAGGTACACAGTATTCAGTAGCCGAAAATTGTACCGAATTTCGAACATTTATCCTGGGCAGCCCGGCCATAGACGGCAGCTAAGTACTAGCTTCTTTTTACTGCAAAGGGACGACAAAGGACCTTTTTTCAGTTAGCTCTAAGTGAGCGAAATTAACATGCCAATTGACAAACTCGCATTATTATAATGATATCAGGCTATGTAATCAAAGGATAAGCCATGTGAAAATCATCAGTTTATTATGCAATTATTTTCATATTTAAAAGCGTTTACACAGAGTGTGCTTGCGCATAGTTTAATGTACATATTCAATTATGTAAGCTAAATTCATATATATGTAGAAATTTTCGTAAAATAATAATAATTGAGAAGACTACGTACTTTCTCCGTCTGGTTAAATTGTGCAGCAACAGCGACTTTTAAACAGACACGCCTATCGTTAGGCTGTCATTTTTGTTTGTTGTTTAATTTTCAGAAATTTCTGTAGTCATATTTGTATTGTTCATTCGGTTAAGAGGTTAAAACACTTGTTTGACTTATTGCCCGCACGACGCCAATCGCATAATAATTGATGTAATTGAAATAACACTAACAAACTTTAGCACACGCACACACTTCGCCCGTTAACTGTTACTGTCAATTGGTATTGGTGGGTGGGTGCAGGCGACGGCAGCGCCCGTCCTCCTCCACCTCCTGCTGCTTAAAGCGAACGCTTGAGTACGTTAAAGTTTTGCATTAGATTTGCCGTTTTCATGTAAACAGCAAACAATTTGATGTGATTTTTGTGAAAATTTGTGTATTTATTAAAGTAGTCTTGCCGCCGGGCCATTGCCATTGCCAATTTGTTGAAGCACGCACTGAAGACTAAAATTTTCTCGAGCTTCACCTTCACGTGTGGCCACAGGACATTTCCTAGCGATATATCCTTTGCAACAAAATGTACTAAAAATACTCATAACGGCGTTGGGTGCACTTCAGGGTTGCTGTTGCTTCAACTGGGCGAAGAAAAAGCGATAAAAAAAAAAAAAAAAATACAGATAACAAATACACATATCGTAAAATATGTATGATGTATGTAAAGTATATATGCTTCATTTGCTAAAACAGGTCTAAAAATGTTCAAATAATATTTAATTCAATTTGTAACTGATTATCGATGTGTAATTTCGATATTTATCAAATGATAGTCGAATTATCGATAGCAAACTTGAAATGCGTGGCTAAGATTATTCGAATTTAAAATTTAATTTCCGTTCTTATATGAACGAACTGTATTTAGACTGTGCACACCTTAGGCAAATTTAATAATTGCAACTATAATTATTTTTTATCTATACATTGTTTATTTTGTTTGACTTTTTTTTTAATTAGGTACTACAAAAAATTGTAAAACTTTCACAAAATTGTTTTTTGCTTTACGTTAAAAGAGTAAATAAAATTGTATGGATTTTTTATATTATTGTTAATTAGGTTTTTTATTCTTAAACCAAATGCTCTTCACAATACGGGAATTCGGCCTCATGCGTTCAATAGTTCATTCTCGAGGAACGTGTCGACTTCGAGATACTGTATTGACGATCATCACCTCGTGCACTGCCACCACCTCCACCGGCGCCACGTTCTCGATCGAATTTGTCATGTGAGCGTTCTCGGGATTTTTCCTGCAGATAACAGTAGGAAATGTTGTCGTTAGCCATCGCACTTTGCTTGCTAGCATTGAGGACTTACTCTATGGCGTTCCCGTTCGCGGATGTCGTCATCGCCGTTTTGTGCTAAAAATTATACATTCTTGAATTTCCTGCATACTGATTCACTAAATATGCCTCACCTTCACGCCGACGCTTGTGGTCGCTGGTGCTGGACTCCTCGTTGCGGTCTCGCTTCCGTCCTAGCTTGCGATCCTTGCGCGCATCACGCTCCTCATCAGACAGCTTGTCCTTGTTGCGCTCTTTGGTCTTCAGGCCGCGCGCTTTCTTCACACTATCTACGAGCTCTTCTACCTTCTGTAATGGCATTTGATTAATATGGACTGTAAAATTCGCTGAAAGCTAACAAATGGAAATAAAAAAAAACTAAAAAGTAATTATGTATTATGACCAAGCCCAACATCACATTAAAAGTACTCCCTCTCCCGTTTCCACATTACTCCTGGCCCGCCCCTAAGCTGAGTGTCCGCCCCCACAGCACGCTGATCACTTACCCGTCTGCACACAATCAAGAGCAACGAATAAACAACTAAACTGCAATCGGCTTTGTGCTGAATTGGAGAGTCGGATCAGTGTTGGACAACGCTGAGGGCTCAACCGTCCAGTGGAAAAAGTGTTCCATTATTTTGGTAGTTTGTATTATTGGTATTTTTTTTTTTTTTTTTTAGGTATTTTTTCTGGCGATTTTAAAGACGTCTCTGATGATGATTTGGTCCAATTTCACGGGAAGACATTTGTGATTTCTTTATAGTAGATTTAGTTATTCTCCAATGGCTCCTCTTTAGTGGAATGTTGTCATTGTACGGTTCTTTGGTCACTCAATAGATTTAGGTAAATCCCTCTTTGTAGAATTATCAGGAGGTCCACGTTTTCAAAAGGGTTACATCACAGGTAGATAACAAGGACTGTTTACGAAGTTATGCGAAGTCAGCGTGTTGAGTCCAGGATTCGTCTTATCGTCCATCTTTGTGTTGTTTAGCATAAATCGGCAGTGTTTTTACTGTAGATTCCAGTTTGACGACTTTTCAGTACTTTTTGTTAAATATGTAGCCGATTCATCTCGACGAAAATCAATTTGTTTAAGAAATCAGGAACAGGACTCCGTGTTGCAAATTGAGTTTTAGGTTAAATTATTTTTCTCTGGAGTGTGGATTTTTTGAATGTTTTTTTTTTTTTTTTTTGCCACAGCGTGAGATATTTTATGATTTTTGTGTAGCTCTCGTATAGACCAAGTTTTTGTCTGCTGGTTGTTCTGGTCTCCAGGATTAACAAAGTTCTGCCAGCTTCAGAGTTACTTTATTGTTTTGCAGCTCAAGGGTATCCAATGGTTTTAAATGTGAATGGCTCCGATTGATTGTCTTTGTTTCTAGATTGAATCAACCAGATTGTACTGTTTTTAGGGCGGCTATGTGTGTTGATGTGATCTGCGCTTTAGGCTTCCAGTATATGAGCATCTCATTCGAAATTTTGTCGAAGGACTCGTCTATGGCGTTGTTGGTCCAATGATGATTTAATGTTTGTTGTCTATAGTATACTGACGTACTCCTATTCCCACGTTGTTTTATTTGTTTATTTATTTGTTTTTTTTTTTTTTTTTTTTTTTTTTGTTTTTTTTTTTTTTTTTTTTTTTTTTTTTTTTTTTTTTGTGCGTTTTTGCAGCTTACACCGACTCTGCTTGGCTTCCTGAGTTCGTTTTCATCTTCATCATCTTGACTAGTCCTTCGTTGTTCTTGTTCTGGTCCATTTGTTATTAAAAACTAACTTAGCTTACCCACAAACTACATAACATTTGCATCAATATAAGACTTAAAATCGAGTGTAGAGAATTTAAAAAAAAAAAAAAAAAAATACCTACAAATTGAAATACAAATCCTACTAAAATCTCATTCACTTAACACATAAGCACATACACTCTCTCTAAACAATTGAACTGTGCGCTTAACCTAATATTTACATATACCTTAATACTATACATTTATTGCCCCCATTTGTAAACAACTTTTGTATACTTAGAGAATACACTCGTTTAACTAGGACGTGATCCAAGTGGGTCCAGAGGAGATATTGCTTGAGGTTGTTGAAATTGGTCTGAAGTCGTCTCTACCAGATGGTGGAATATGTGTGTGTTCTAAGGCGCCTCTCATGCTTTCAGTGAGTCAATTTTTTTTTTTTTTTTTGTATTTATTTAAAATTATGCCCTCCGTTGGTTGCGGTTCGGTCGGTCGTTGTCTTAGCGTACTATGTATGCAACCATATGCTACTAACCTTTGAACTGCTTGTAGATGATTCCAATTTACGACGCTTTGAATCTGCTGGCAAAACAGGAAATATATATTTAGCAAATCTCTGTGTAAGGTCTATATTGTAGAACGCATTATATTTTGATTTCATTTACCTTTATCATATTCAATAGTTTCGTGACTACGTCGATGCTGCAGCGAACCGTTGCTCTCATTGGACACCGAACTCAGATCGCGGTCCCTTTGGTAGTCATCATAGTGGCGATGATCCTGGCCGCTGTTGCCGCCGCCCGTCACCAGATCAACTGTTTCGACTCCCTCATGCCGATACTGGCTTCGCTCATCGCGTCGTGATAGCTTCTCTCGTTTCTGTGCCCGCATAGCGGCAAGTTCCAGCTCCTCAAGACGCTGTGTGCGCTCGCGTGCTCGCTGCTGCAGCTCGGCCTCGGTACGCTCCTTATTGCTGTTGCGGTTGCTCTCGCGCTGTGAACTGCGCGTGCTGCTTAAGCTGTGGCGCTCTTCACGTTCCCGATCTCTCTCCCGGCTGCGTCGTTCGTTTTGTCCGCCATTGCTGTTGCTATTGTTACTGTTGCTATTGTTGTTGTTGTGGTTAGTACTGCTGCTATTGGACTGCTGTTGCTCTTCCTTGGCATCCATGTTCCGATGAGATTGGGTTTCCCTGACCGCTGATGTTGACGCATCCCTCTTACTCTCACGCTCGCTATTGGATGGTGCTGAGACGGCCTTTGAGATGGAGACCACAGTAGATGCCGTGCCCTCTGGTTTGCTGGGCTTGGCATCGCCACGCGCTGCTTGAGCTAAATAGGAATGGGAATATATATTGATGGACAATAGGTTCAGCCTTAAGTGAATGCTACTTACCAGTCTTTGCGTCCGCCTCTTTTCCTGATGCCTTTGGATCATAGAAAGACGAACTACTGACCGTTTTTGTTGTTGGTGTGGTCGTCGTTGTGGCAGCAGATGCATTTGCTTTTTCGCCGGGCTGCACCTTGACGGCGCTACCAGGCGGTGCGGGCGCTGCTTCCTTTACCGGCCGCTCGGCGACCTGATGGAAGTCGCTCTCTTTGAACATATGAGGAGACTTTAGTTTTAACTGGCCAATATAGCTGGAGGCGATGGCAAACAAATCCGGTCGCTTGGTTTTCTCCTCCTCGCGCACTTTGTCCACCTTGCGCTCGATGATCTGCGCTAGCTTGGATAGCACCGGATAATGGGGCAAAATGCGCATCAGTATGATAAGCGCATTGCGTATTTGCATGAAGTCCTTAGAATCAAGACAGAACACAATTGCCTTTGTAATCTTGTAGTGCCACTTGTGGCATACATGGCGATAGTTTTCGTAGCCAACATGATCGTTGGCCTCCGAGAACTGATTGCTGACGCGGAATTTGGTTACAAAGCCAGGATAATTTGCACACTCCTTATTGAAAACAGCCTGATCTGCATGCCAACGCATTACCGTCTCCAGCATGGCACACAAAAAGCGACCATAACGCGTCGCCTCACCCTCCGTGCAAGATGTGACAGAGTATGTAATGTCGCAGAAGAGCTAAACAGGAATTACAAAATTAATAACTAAATTAACTAATTGGTAAGAGTACATTCATACCCGATCGTAACAGAGCAACGTGGAGAAATTCGCCGTCTTCAAATTATGTATAGTTTGAACGAACTTGGCACAGTAGAGCGCGTCCAGGGCAGTGAAGGTGCAGCGCGGAAAGAGGCATAGCTGCAGGAACTGTGTAATGGTATCATTTTTCGCTGATTTGGCGGAGCGCAACAGAAACCAGCCATCTTTTTGCTCTTGCAGACGTTGCAGAATTTTATCAACATGCTCATGTTGTTTCTTACGCTCGTCATTTAGCTTCTCCATGAGCGCAATATAGCGCTCCTGCTCCTTCTTGTTCTTGGACTGGTTCTGCAAGAATTAGATAATTAATAATTGTTACTCCAATGCCTA